CTCGGCATGGAAAGAACGACTTCATTCAGTAGTGATAGTTTTCTGTAGTGATAGTTTTCTATAAGTTGTTCGTGGAAACGTAACCATATGCCTGTGGTGTAAATCGGCAGGGCCGATACCTTTTTCCTGTGGATGGGTGGAGATCCAACTTTTGATAGACCCTATCTGCATGCGAGCCAAAATTTCCTAGCATTCTAGCGCTCTTGCGGATGTTTTGCTTTGCGTCCTATCCATCTGATCAGCCTTCTTAGAGACAGCAATTCATCTTCTTTGAAGGTGTCCTTGTATGCGTGCTAGATCAAACATTTGCTCTGACATCTTGTCACAGACAGGTTAGAAAAGAGAGGTAATTCCGAATGAAGTCGTTCTTTCCACATCGAGGATGGGAGGGGGAATTTGTCTTAATCGTCTGGTTTCTTCTTGCTTTCTCTTCCTACCCTGTCTGGATACGAATTCTTTGAGGGTGACCGCTTAACTCGCCGAATGACGACTCGCTGAATTCAATTCTCCGACAACAACTCGCCAAACGTTCAATTCGTCAAATGACGGTTCGCCGACTTGCATCTCACCCATTGCGCAACTCAACCCTTCGAATTATTTATTGCCGATTTGAACCTTCCAAATATTCAACTCGCCGACTTAATGAATGATAGAAACCGATTTTCTCTGGATACAACGGAGCCAAATTTCCAAAGCACTTGACAAGCATTGCACATATTTTGCACAAAAGGAAAATGGGAATGAGGGTGGCGGTAAGGTAGGACAGGGCGATTCTGTAAATGATGATGCTGCACTCCAAGGAGCATGCAAACTGAAGATGGATGTTCTGCCACGTTGTGCTTCCAAACTTGTTCGTGCTGTACCACTCAGCCCTCTTGCATATGATCAAGCTTACCAGCCACAAGTTAACATTCGAGTGAATGGAGAGTTGTACCTAAGCCATGAGCCATGAGTATGACAATGGGTCCATCAATGGAGATACAAATGGCTACAATGAAATACAGGATTCTGTTCAAGTTTATCGCGATACTTCTTTATATCTGATACTGTCGTTGTTGGAATATTCCAATCATGTGCTACCTCAGCTTGCCTTGCACCCAAAAGCTAAACCTAAAAACTTTATCGAGCGAACGAGGCCACGCGAGAAAGTTTTATTGGACAGACGATGAAAGAATGCTGCAAAAGAAAGATATTTGAAAGAAAACTTTCGAACAAATCTCCCAGAGCATTGAAAATCTTCCTAGGGTGAGGGAGAGCGACAGGGAAATATTTTCTGTTGCATCATGTCTTTTGCTAGCAAGTCCGGATTAACGGGAGAGAATGGCATAGGGGATAATAAAATTTGTCCGGATAAAAGACATACTCGTATACGGAATAACGAGTCTGGATTAAACGGAGAATTTTATTATTGTTTCTACGAGAGTCCTGCCGGGAATATTCCAGATGCCCATATTACCGGAGGATCCGGATTAACGCTGGAAATCCGGATCCGGTTGACTGTAGGTGATGCAGAACTCCTTAGGAATCGTCTTGTCTCACTTCTTCATGATCAGGATACTTTGATTCTTGGCTGTAAGATGATGAATGGATGGTAAGCACTATGTAAACATTGAGGCACAAGGCGTATTAGCCTGGTTTCTTTCTCTTGTTTGCATGCATGTTTTTTCCATCCAGGGTCAGTCTTAGGCATGTGCCACATGTGCCCCCGCACAGGGCGCAAATACACCAGGGGCGCCAAAACGTGCCAGAATGAATCAATAATAGATGACATCTTCAGTTTTACTCAAGAAAGTGGAAATGCCTTCGGTTTTGGCGTCCTTTTGAGCGCAAGGGATTGACCTCCCCTGAGAGGGGGGCGGTGCGTTGGGAACTTCTTTGCACAGAGCGCCGCAATAGCTAGGGTCGGACTTGTTTCCATGTGTTGGTCCCCCTATGTCCTGTCCTTTCTTGGGTGTCTTTGTGTACCTTGAGAGAGAGAGGTTTTCTTTAGTAATCTTTATTTTGCGAGGGAAAGATTATCGAAGAAAACCTCTCTCTCTCCTTATACGGAAAAATGCGATAAAAATGGCTTTGAAATGCTGCAAGAAATACATTTCTGCCATTGGATCAAGAATTTTTGAAAATAAGGAGTGATTTTTCAGTCTCTCTGTAGAACTGGGTGCTTCATAGCGGTAAAATTGGTTAATTTAAAGCATACGCTATGAAAAATATCTGACAAGGAGCGTCTTATCTTAATACCATATGTGACACATCTTAAGTATGTCAGCGTACTCCTCAGCTGCATATATTTTTCTTTTAACACACATTTATTCATTACTTGTAATGCATTCACTTTCACTGTTCGATATGCAAACTTCGTGATGAAATATCATTATTGCGTAAACCTAGCTCCATCTATAGTCAAACTAATATTCACTCCCATCATTAATCGATTGATGGTCTGTGGTGCATGTTCAAGATGAACGCGAACAAGTCATGGACCAAGCATGAGAGTCCAAGTCGGCCACATCCTGGGCTTCATGTGGAAGCCATTTTAATGTGTGGTTTCATTCATTTTCATTGGAATTCTGTACCAAGAGCGTCGTCGATATATCCCAAACTGGAATTTCATCAGTGTGGGAAAAAAAAATTTATTGGCGGCTCTTGGCTTATTGGGGAGTCATTAATAATGACGAATTCTTGCGATATTCCGAGATGCCCTCCAGGCTGGGGAGTACTAGAGGAAGTCTACTGCCAAGAGCATAGTAGTGAATGAATGGAAGCGAGAGATTGTTGCAATCACAGCAGTCGTTGCGAAAGCATCCTTCTCATCCATCCATATTCACCGAAGTCCTCACGTCATTCGGCAGCGAAGGGCGGGCGACAGGCACAATATTATTGTGCCTGTCGCATCATTCCTTCCATTCTGTCCGTTTCCTTCCTTCCTACTTTCCTTCATTTGCTGTCAATAGATGATGCCTTCCTTTGGAAGAATTCAATGTGGTCAAAAGAAAGGAAATTGTAATTCAACCCCTATTGCACATCTCATTCACTGTTCCCTCTTCGCATTTTATACAGAAATGTCGTCCTGTAGTAGTTGAAAGAGCCTGCTTTCGAATTGCTTCTGGATTCGGGTCATGAAATTTCTCTCGTTGCATTACCGACCAGTAATGGGCCTAGGAATCCCAATATTGCGCCATGTTCCATTGTGGCATCAATGGAACCCCAATCGACCAAATAATTGGAAAGTTGGAACCGCATTCATCCGACAAGGCATGCAGATCGATCTCAGAAGGAGGAAAGGATCGAGGAATGTAATGAAGTGAAGATTTTCGACCAAGAAGAGGAAGAGGAGGAAAAAGACGTCGCCGGGTGTTTCCACGTCATTGAATGGCGAAAAGAGTTCATAAATCAGAGGGGAAACGACGGCGATAACCTCGGGATTCACCATTACCTCACATGTCGACCGGAAACGACTTAAATCCCCACACACCATTCCATTCCCTTCCCTTCTTCATCTTCATTCTGTTTTTCTCCCCGTTCCTCTATTCAAGGATGAGTCGACAAGGATGAGTCGAGGCATGCATGCATGCATGCATTGCCGAATGGCAGAAGGGGGGATGATGGAGAGATCTCTTCTGTCATTTTTCTCCCACCAGTGGCAACTGTGGAAGAAGGGAATAACTACAGCCAGACGGAATAACAATGAACCTGAGTCTTCGTCCTGCCAGAGAGGAGAAGAAGGGGGAAAGGGGATGCAGAAAATACGCCTGAAACTCCGAGATAAGGCCCCTTTTCCTTTCCCACTTCATACCCTATCCCAGTGTATCGGATAGGACTTCAAAAATCTCTCCGTACTGCTTGAGTCTGGAATGTCTTCCCTTTCTCTGATTTCATTTCGAGATGCCAATTGACGGGTGTCGATATTAATGATGGCCAATGGACTGATGGCTTTCATTTCGATTATTTCGAGGATGCTGCAGAGAAACTGCAAGCGACGTCGCTGTCCTTTTGTTTGGAGCCGATATCCTGGGTACATCCAGCCGCTGATCGGGCACTGAACGCGAGTTTTTCGACCGATGGCACTCCAGGGGGGCCCAACCGACTGCCGGTTTCTTTCCTCGCATGATCGTGTGAATTCACGCGTCAGAGACTCAGTCTCACAGGCACGACACCCGACTAGGGTGCTTCGCGGTCAGGTTGACAGACCACGCAATGGCCTAAGCACGAACGCGAGCTCAGTTCCGTACATATGTTGAACGCTCTCACTGTCGTAAGCTGTCATTGCTGGCCTCCGTCTCCCTGGAAGAATTGATGCTATTGCATAGGGTCTTCGCAATCGATTTCTTTTCCGACGACCCCTCTGGAAAGATTAGCTCAAGGTCCTTCCCTGTTGAACTCCTAAAGGCTGAGAAGCGTCTCATCAACTCCCGCGATCGATGGATTAAAGAAAAAAATTTTTGAGCTAGGAACGATGCTAATTGAGTTGGGTGTTATTGAAGAAAATGCATCCTGTGATTGATGGCATGCATCATTTACGCCCCCTTGTCTCTTCCCATGGGTCTTATTTATCATATCTCCTCTTTCGCCATTGCCCAAAAGGAAAAAAAAAAAACTGGTTTGAGGATTTCATGGGATGTGTAGTAAATGAGCTCCGCACTGGCGCAAGGTCTGCAGGTCATCGTGGAACCTGTATCATTCGGAGCGAAATGAGAACATTGCGTTGGAGGAGCACGAAGAGTATGAAAGGAATCGTGGCTTCGTTCCTGGTTCGAGCCGTTATGATTTCACGGAGCCCAGGATTATCTCGCTGGACAAAGAGCAGCGTTTTCAATAAATGCTTCATTCCCATCACCAAGAGGGAAAATGGCTTCTTTTTTTTAACGGGGATTCCTTGATGGAGGCCATTGGAGGGATATTTGCGCGGGCGCCAACTGGGTACACCCCGATCTCCCGCCCTTTCCTCCGTCGATCAACGACAACAGTTGCCTATCTCCCACGGGACTCCCTCTGACCAAGAAGGAAGTTCGAACTCGGGCCGTGTATGACGTCTTCGGCCAGTAATTCTGTCAGTTGTGCATGGGATGTTCCATGCGAGTGGGAGCCGGAAATGCATTAAAATATCCCAACCGTGTCCTTCAAGGTCAAGCGTGAATGGAGACTGTCCATTTCATGGGCCTTGAGCAAGTGTGATCTGTGACGTCATCACGCGCCCACTTTCACGAACCTGTGTTGCTTTACTCCTCGTGTGCGTCAGTCACTCCCTAACCATGGACGCAACCAGTTTCTGCCTTCTTTCTCTTCTTCCTTCCCGCACGTCTCTCCTTCACCTCGCCGTCGTTTTCTCCCTTCTCCATCGTGAGTTTTCTTTTTCTCATAATTTATCCGTAAATAAGTAACTTTTTCTTCCTGGATAACGAGAGAGAAAGGAATTTTGAGTGCATTGGAGTATTAGCTTCCGCTTTCTCTTTTCGACGCCTGGCTTCCCTCTGCGGTTCCCATGGATCTATAGCCGTAAGGGGGCGCCTGGTTTCAAAGCCCACAGTTTATTTTGCTTTTTCCTTGTAAGTTTACTTTCGCAGCTTGTTCTTCCTTTCTCAATCCGAGGGAGGCGTCTATGTCCGGGGACGTGACTTAGCTTTTCTGAGGATAATTGCGAACTGGAAATGGAAAAACTGCGTTGGGACCGTTGAATTCCCCTTCAGCCCGGACTCTATATATTATACCCTTGGCTTGACTTTCTCCCCTCGGCGTCGAGGAAGCTTTTTCATTCTTCCCAAACCATTGTCCCCGTTCACAAGATGAGACTCCCATAAAATGGAGGGCGGCTAATGGCGGTTTTGTCGATTGGCAAAGTGACAAAAGTAATTTCCGTTAAGGGGAGTTATTGCAGTTCCCTATATTCTACATGATTTTCTGGATGTCCGTGAGGGAACCTCATATCGTGTGATGCAATAAGGCCATGACCTTGACGATTCCTTTTTTGTTTTAACGAGAGAAGTTCTCTGGGATAAGGAACCCCTCGGGGCTAGCACTTCCCTCATTGAAAGGTCATGCTAGTCTCTCTCTTCCGGCCTTCTTGTCGGAAGAGAGAGAGGCTCTCTCAAGCCGACACTTCAGGAGGGCCTGAAGAATGCTTACAAATTCATTGCTACTCCCCTCGAAGTATGGATTGGGAGCCTTGGATGCTGTGTTGTATTCATCCTCTCTCTCATCTCCGTGCTACTAGATGCCACTCTAATATAACTGTATAACTGGCTAGAATCCAGGAATGAAGACACTGATGACCATGGAAAGAACTCGGAAAGATATACTAGTCTCTGTTCCTTTCCTGCCAATGACGCATGAACAGGGAGGATGAGACGATAGGGGAATTCTTTTTGGGGTTTTCCCCTGCGTTGTTTCAGAAGAACCCTATCGAATCCTGAGGGTAAGGGATATCAAGAATATCAATTTTTCCAGAAGATTACCCCGCTCCCTTGCGTCGAATAGCGTTGCCAGGAGACGAATGAACTCCTGTTGCGATCAGACAGGCTCCCAGCCCCTTCACATCTCTATTATTGCTCCACCCCCTTCCATCTTTGGGACTTCCTTCAATTCGTGGATTGGGGGCTTTGAATGGAAAAATATTCCGTCGTAGGCAAAAGGAATCAATTTTTTCTTTTTCTTCTTCGTCACTCGGGTCGATCCATATTTTCGGGGCCTGTTTTGTTGAGACATTTATTTCACGGTCGAGGAAGTTCCTTTGTGCCAAGGAGGAGAGGGTGAGTGCATTTGGCACGGGCCTATGGGCTCCCCAAAGCGAACTCATTCATGTGCACCCCTTGATAGGTCCACCCTTTTCCATTTCTTTCGTCATTCACTTACTGAGTCGTGTTTCCTAGATCCAACACCGAGTAAATACAAAAAACGGCGGAAGTTATTCCATTTTCTATATCCAGTGTTTGATAAGAAGTAGCAAGAAAGTAATGGAACGACATTACTTTCTTGGTAACTTAGAACTCATGTTACTTTTGAGAAAGGAAAACTTGTGACCTAATTACATTTCCGATGTTGTGTGACTTGGGAGGAACAAGCCACCTAGTTACTTTCATATTCTCTTTCAGAGATGCCGCTCTGATGATAAATACCACCATTTACAACGATGTGGTAATTTTCGTGCTTTACAATTAAAAAAAAACAAGGTAGCACGGTTCAAGATCATCAAGGAAGTCAGTAGCAGACAATAAATCTTGTCATGCCTACTGTACAGTATTCTGTTTCTTTTTATCGATTGAATGTAACTTATAGCACAACTTATAATTGCATGAAGGGTAACTGTAACTATAATTTATATTATTCATGTATTATCTTGTGACTGAAATTAATTTTTTTCTTTGAGTAACTTGTAAGTTGATTCTTTTGCCTTTCCACCTTTTCCCTACATTGTCTATGAAGTTCTTGAACGTGAACCGGTGTTGTTTATGAGTGCAAAAGGAGCAAGAAGGGTAGAATGGGAGAAACTTGTGACTCTTGAAGGAATGTGGGCTGATGATCTATCTTGATTCCATGCCTCTGTCGATTAGACGTGACATGCAAATGCACTTCCGCCCTGACTGATGGTCACCTTGGGATTATCAGCCCCCCCCCCATGCATTCCTCAATAATATAACAATATTTTTTCTTTTCCTGTGATGATGTTTCTTCCCACATGGCAGGTGAGACATTGGGGCAGAGTTCCCAAGAGTTCTATGGGACCCTGATAGGGAACTTCAAGAACTACGCTCATGGGATATCGGGAAGCGTGTATGCGGTGGATGAGGATACAGTTGTGATCAAGGGCTTCTCCTACGATGGTTCCGCACCTGGTCTGTCTACATTTCGCTATTTTACTTCTAAAATAAACGTGAACGTATAAGTATTGTCAATCTTTCTATGCGTTGAGTAGAGGTTTATTCTTATCTCATGACCACTGGTCGGTCTCATTCCGGAATGAATACGATTCAGCAAGAACAAAAATGCGAAAATGCTTTCGTATTGGTGCGATGGTAGATGTTGGCAGGATATACGAGAGAGAGAGTGAGTGTGTTGGCACGGATCCTGTGCCAGGAAGACAATAGGAGCTATGATATGAGAGACTCATTTTTCCTCCCTCCCTTAGGCTCTGTGTCCCTTAATTTTCTTCTCCCCATCCAAGCTTGGCTCTTCCGTGTCAGAAGAGCACAGGAGATTACCAGCGCCTGATTGAATCCTACTTGCGAATAATAATCCCCCCCCCCTTTTTTATATAGGCCTGTATGAAGAAGGAACATCATCTCGATGACAATGTAGTATATCTTCCCGCGGCTATCCTTTAATGCGGCAGACTTGTCCTCGATCCTCTGGGAATATGGGAATACTGCAACTCTCTAAGACTAGGTGCAATTTAGGTCTCCTGTTGGGACTCTCTGTTTGCCTACATTCCCAGATGCTTACTTTTGGATCGGAGACGATGTCCAACCGTCCCCTCGAGGTTCCATTGTTCCCTATCCTCAGTCCTACAGTGGAGAGTGAGTTTTGCATTGATTCATGATTTGCATGCTCGTCGAAAAGGTTTAACGAGTACTGGACTTTTTCCCTCATTAACACCAGGGAACCTCCTATCTTGGGTTCATTTGAGAAGGAGGACATTCTTCTGCATTTCCCGAAGGGAATGAAACTGACTGACATCAAGTGGCTTTCGGTCTGGTGTCGACGTTTCACGGTCAGCCACTCTTATGTCTCTTGAATGAATTCAGTCGATTGATTTCGAGTGATACAATGCTTTAGAGATTGCGTCACCGGGAACTCTTGGAAATCTCCCTTTTAATGGGGGGGACGACGACTTGTCTATCTCATCCTTTTATATTGACTATGTAAAATATATATCCTTGGCTTCCTTTTACAAGCTTCTAGTTTCGTCACCGAGGGTTTCTCACCTATTCTGAGTTTCAATGTCTTGCTTATTTTATGCTTTGGAAAAGAAAGAAAGCGCAATTTCCTTGAAAACATGGTAATAAGCGCTACAGCAAAAATGACCTAATTGTAAAAACTGAAGCGGTGAAAGAGAAGACCAAGAATGGAGACTACAACTTAATTGTAGGGACTAAGGTCGCCACCTTCGAAAGAGCTGAAGTAAATGATGGAAAAGTATATGAAAATTGGCAATTTGAGTTTTCCCTTGTGATGACAAGATGACAGCAGGAGTGTGTGAAACCGATTCCAGTGGTTCCTCCTCCCCACGTTGTTAAAGTTTGAGAGATTTGCTACATCTTCAGCAAAATTTCGCACTTTCAGAGTACGAGGGAAAATGCGCTCCATAGACTTTTTTTTTTCAATTCCCGCACCATTCTCCAATTGCAGTGAATGTCCAATTCAGATGACTCGTGCATATTATCGTTTCCATTTCGATTCCATTTGTGAAAGCCCATGATGAAGGATACTTATGGGATATATTGTAATGTTGCCATACTTCCTTGCATAGAAAAATGGACAAGAATAATTGCTGATGTGACCTTAATTATGACCCGAACAGAAATGCAGATCCTTCTATATTTGCGAGCAGAAGCAGTAGAGACATAAATTTTTCAGGAGTGATACACTGCATAAAGTGTTACAGTGAATAAATTTTGGCCATGCAGGTGCAGTCGAATGGATAATACTGTAATACGAATGGATAATACTGGAATAATACACAGTAATACGAATACGGAAACGAATGGATAATATTGTGGCCCTGGGAGAGAGAAGTGAGCACAATCATTGCGGATTCTTTTACGAATGGCTTCTAAAGTTACCTTAAAATTATGCTTCTTCAGTCATACATTTAGAGGCTTCGCAATAGAATTCTTATGTTAGAGATCTGTATTTACTATATTTAGCAAACTGATATGAAGAAAGAGTTTGAAATTTTGTTTCATAAAAATAAGTTTCAGATAAATCTGATCTCAAAGCTTTTTCCAAGAAGTTTGACTTGGTTTTGGAAATTGTTCATCTTCTGTCAGATATAACTTAATCTTGGTATCGGCATATTTTCGCATGATATTTTTTCATATCTGAATTTTGGATATCGGCAAATTTCAATGCCCTAATGTGTCTCTTTCTTTTGGGACAAATTATTACTTCTGCGGATTCGCGTCTCTCCTCTTTCTTGTGAAGGCAGGAGGTTCTGCGTTTGTTGCACAGTTTATTTGCACTCTAAAGAGTATGTGCTGCAACCTTACGGTTCAATGAATAAAGAAAAGGGGAAAGGTCGAAAATGGGTTTTCACGCTCTTACGTCTCATGTTTGTATTCAGGTGAATTTTGGGGATGTGCGCGTCCCGAGGAACTTGAGGATTCCAAAGAAGGAGGTCCTGACGGAATTCTCCCGCTTGGCCCATGGTCTTCGATCCGGGAACGTGACAGTGTTAGACGAGAGGACCTTCTATATCCCAAATCTCCATTACGATGGCGCCGGACCTGATGCGTTCTTCCTTGTCGGAACCGGCCCCTCTCCCAATCCCAACGGCCTCAAGGTCCCCAACGAACAGGGCAGGTCTGATCCCAAGCTCTGAGTCTCATTTTCTGAGGGGGAGGGAGGGGGGGGGGGGGGAGGAACAGAAAAAGAAAGGGGAAATCTTGGAAAGGGGGAAGGAGAGAAGGGGAGCGACAATTGAATCATTTGAGGGCTATGGAAGGGGATTGGATGAATGGATTAAATGAAGATTAGCTCCGATGAGATGGTCGGAAATGTGATTCTAGAGGCGAGAGATGCCGGCTTTTGTGAATCACGGATCCAACATTCATTACATGCCAATGCCTCTCTTCCTTTAAGCTGATCTCAGTCTCACTCTCACTGGGTGTTCAATAGCTGTGCAGAACTAAACACGCGGTCGTGCACAGGTCTTTACGCGGTCTGTCTGCTTCACAGGGAAGCAACCTCACATTCTAGTTTCGAACCTAGTTTGGTAAACTGAGCTTCTAACGCACGTCCGAGCACAATCACGCGAGGAGTGGAGCCGGTGTTCAGTTGGACAGGCCTTGAAAGCGATCAGTAGCGAAATTACAGTTTCAGGCCCGATCAGCTGCTGAATGCATACTGTCTTTCCCTCTCCTTAGCTTGACTTTCTTGAAAGACTCTGCATGAAGCTTTCATATCAGTGTAACACCTGGCAGTTAGCGGCATTCATGGGTGAAGCAGGCTCCCCCCCCCCCCCCCCCGAACCTCTTTGACCCACCAAAAAAAGAGACCTTGGCAGCGCCCCTGTCATGAATTTACGATTAATGTGTGATTGTTATTTTTTTTTATCGCTGCGTGGGCATTGTTCGAGATCGGGAGATAGACAATCGAATGAACAATGACGAGGGAAAAAGGAAATATGAGAAAGCAAAGGAGGAGAATCTCTCTCATCTGTCCCATCTTCCTCTCCCTCCCTTCCCTCTTTCCGTCCCCCCTCGTGTCAATGGAAGATCCATTTCTCTGGCTCCGGCCTCTCCCATTACCGTCAATCGCCGTGAAAAAGCCATCAACTTCCTGTCTTCAGGATAAATGTCCCCGCCATCTTTATCCGCCTTTTTTTTATACATAAGAATGTATTCCCCTTTCCCCTGCCTTGATCCCTGCACCCGGGACTTGATCTCGCATCTCCCATCCCCTGAAGCCTACTTCCCACATTACTTCAAGGTATTCCATTGAGAATATATTGCCAAAACTTGAGGGAAATGGCGGAAAATAAAGACAGAGGAGACTGTTCAGGGTGTAATAAAGAAGGCTGTCGTAATGAAGGCTTTCAGAGCCTCCTCTTTATTTGCTCACTCCAGACTCTTGAAAGATTATTGGATCCCTCCGTAGCCCTGCCTGCATCGATAGTCTCGCTCTCTCTCTCTCTCCCTTCCCCCCTTGCCAGCCTTTCTCTTTTCATATCCATTCCAGTCGCGACCAGAAAACCTTTCAAATTGAGAAAAAATCTTAAAAGTATTTGGAAAGGGGGTAGGGAGAACTGAAACATGGATTGGAGATTGAATAGAGTGAGGGTGTCTCGAGGGAGGGATAAAGACGTGATTCTCCGCTAATCTTCCTTCTCATGCCATCGATTCCTTCCTTGCACTCGGCCTATGGCCCCCTCCCGTTACTTCCATTCTATGCTATGCATTCGACTTACTTGTCTATCTCCCTTTCTGCAGCCTCTTCTTGTCATCTACTTTGTTCCCTTCTCCGCTTGTGTCCGATATTCTTCGATCGTCTGCCCCGTCTCATTTTAATCCTCTGTCTCTCCTCCCTCCCTCTCGGAAATGGCTCTTTCCATGAATCTTCGATGGAAAGTGAGAGGGAGAGACCTGATTGGCATGCCAGAGGTTTCTCTCGCGCTTCGCTTCGCCTCCTTCATCCCCATTATTATCTGATATTATGAAATCCCGTGTCAGCAGAACTGTTATTGGCGGTCCTATACTCCATATCCATATAGTCTGTTTCCTCTTTCATATTATAACTGTCACTTTACCTACCCCGTACACTCTTACCATCTCTCTCTCTCTCTCTTTCTGTCTCATAGCCCATTTCTATCCTTTCTTCATCTCCTTCCTGTTGAAATTATGACCGCTCGTATTTTCCTCTGGGTGCACTCAAAGACCAAATCAAACACGCCCAAATCACCTGCACGAAAGGAATCGTTTTGGTTCCTCTGTTTGGGGAGATGGGAGGATCTGGTTTTCAGCTCATCGCAATTTTTTTTGTACGAATAGTGTCCAAGAAATTCATGCACGAAACAGTAAGCATAGTTTAAAAAATGTTTATTTTGGCTACAAGAGATTTTCAAAATAAATCCCTCCAGATTTTCCGGACCCAATCCTCGACCTCTTCACTCCACCCAAAATCTCTGACTTCTCAATTGCTTCTTTAACGGTCCAAACAAATGATAGTCCCTTGAGGCCAAGTTTGAGCTGTATTCAGGATGTGATAGGACGTCCCATGGCATGTTTTTGACAGTTGCCATCATTATTTGAGCAACACGGAACTGGGCATTGTCCTGTAGGAACAAAATTCATTTGCTGAGCATTCCTGAGCGACGCTTTCTGACTGCTGGACGGACTGCGTCGCGGAAGAATGTTGAGCAGTCACGAACAAGAAGCATGCCCAATAAGTTCCATAAAACAGTAGCCATAACCTTTCCTTTAGAAGGGAGGCTCTTGGATTTATTTAGTGGCGGATGTTTCCACAAATAGCTTGCTTTGTTTCGTAGTGTAATGTTGAGCCAAAGTTTCATTGCCGGTAGCAATGCAGCGTAGGGATTCGTCCACCTCTTTGTCATAACGTGATCGAAGCTCTTGGCACCCTTGGAGACAGTGTGTCTATTGGTCAGCACTCTGATCATTGGGAACTTGACGTATCTCCTCACTTCACGGTTATGGTGGATGATGGTTTCAACTGAATCGAGACTTTATTCTGTCATCTGAGCAATTTCAAGCGTAGTTACTCGATGAGTCACATTTTGAACTCGTTGCACATTGTTTGGAATCACAGTTTTCTCTGTAGCTCCACTGAATCTCCCGCTCCAATTTTAAACTGTTCTGAGGGCTTACCATCTTTCATCCTTGCTGTTTAACTAACCTCCTGTGGATTTCACGGTTTACTTCTCTTTTCGCCAAAAATTTATGAATAATTCGATTTTCTGACTTGTTATCCACCTCCGTCTTCATTTTGGATCTTCCAGGATGACATTGCATTAGGGATACCAACTTTCTGTGGCGATAGAGATACATTAATAGCTACTATTTGTCACAGTATATATCTTTTCGACGCGTTGACAATAAGGTATACACAGCCGCGCATGAATTAGTTTAACTCTCCGCAGTGCAAGTGACGTTTAAAATGCCAATTGATAAATCGGAAGAATGTAAAGTTATTTTGAGCCATGGTTTTGAGCCAAGTGAAGGATCTTTTAAATGGTTTAAAGGCAGGCGAATAAACCTGGACAAATAGGTCTGCAAAATATAATTCGTGATAAATTTATTTGTCCCTATCGGATAAGTTCTTCGTCAACATTGCTTAGTTAGAATCTCCGAAGATGATCATGGATTCATAATTCCTTTTTTCATTCGGGTGCTTGCTTGCTTCTTTATATTTTGGGCATTCAGTTTACATTCGGAATGCCTTGAATTTTTCGAGTGAGGGATGTTAGCATCATTAGAGTGATATACTTTTTTAGTTTTATCCAAATGTATGTGGCTATAGTTAACAGTGAAACTGCAATGCAGAGAACTGGTACGTTTCATCATCTGCTTTGCCTCATCCTTAAGGAGTATTATTTTCGAATCGTGAAAAGCCTTGTTATCCAGCAACCTGTACCGCAATAAGATCTCGGGTTTGGCAAAATGGATGGACCAATGTTGTGTCTCATTCTTCGCTCGTGACTCGTTCCAATAATTGACCCAATCTTGGGCAGCATCCCGGAGTATTAGTGGCGCAACATCTGAAGTGTATGTTTGACCGCCGATGAGCCTAGGTTTGACCAAGAATGAGCTTGATTGGGTAGTTTTCTGATCCCAGTTTTAGTCTTAAAAGATTCAATCAGATTGCGTGGATGTCAGAGAAATGACGTTCTTTGTCAGTGGTACGGATTTCCCCTAAAATTCATAAAAAATTGCGGGACAGCTTTTCTCATTGAGAAACAGAAATAACTACGTATCATGCATACATATTCCTTCATAAAAGTTGCACTTGCCCTTGCTGAAACATGATTTTGACGTCAATCTAGGAGTTGCATAAGTGTCATTACCACTGTGAGGTGAGAAGATTTCTCAGAAAACCAGAGGCTCCTTCATGCACTTCCCGCAGTTGCATCATTCGCTGCCATGGTTGACTAAATGAACCATCGACTGATCCAGCACCATACGTTTTTACTGTGTCAACATTATTAGATTCCATGCACGTGGATGACTTGATGCAGGTAATTCCATAGAAGGATGCCGATTCCTCACCAAGAATAGACCATTGTCGGTTGGCCCATGATAAGTATGATTGGTTCTGCCATCTTTGGGCATATGGCTTGACGCCGATGAGAAATGACCAAATGTAGTAATTGGTCGCAAAGATGAACCAGTTATTCCAAACCCAGCTCAATATTGGGCAAAGGATGTCTGCTCCCTGGAATGAAGATTTTACAGTTTCTTAGCTACATGTATTCTAGGCCTACAAGCCGAATTATGTATGGTCTAAAGGAGTCTGGAAGCAGTTATAACTTCCTGTTTTCACTTTATGATGGAAGAGACATTTGAACTTGAGTTGGATGTGTCCGTGGGGGTGAGGGGGTGTAATGTTTGGGAAAGGGTACGCCTAATTGAGAACAGGCTTTCGCACTCCACCGTTGATAATTTGGCTAAACTTATTGTTCCTCGTTGAAGCCAATATTCAGTTCCGATGGAATTTTGGAAGATGAGGGTTGAAGGTATCATCTTAGATCAGGAATACTGTGCGTTTTGATGACGCTGCTACTTGAACGAGCTCTGAATCTGTTAAGTCTGGGGTGGAAGGAGGGGGAGGAGGGGCAAATAACGTCCCCGTAAAATCCTCAGCTGGCCTATGAGATGGAAAGGATCAGCTCCCATGGCGACCATCATTCAGATCGGATTTTCTCTTTCATCTACCCCCTAGCTCCTCTTCCTCTAGACTCCAGAGTCCTATAGTAGACCCTGGGACATCTCTGTCTTTTCCTTTCCTCTGTTCTCCCCATGTAATTGATCTTTCTTGGCTGAGAAAAGTGCAAGGAAGTGTGAGAGACAGGCATTTCTTGCCTGCGTAATGGGTGGGAGACATTTCTTGCCCAGTTGATTTGTCAATCATTCCTATCAAGTAAGAAAAAGAGTGGAGAAAGATGGGTAGTGATTGATGTCGATGAAATAGAAAGAGACTTGCTGAGAAACACTATAGAATGGAATCGATGGGGAAATGGCGGAGTTTGGTCAGTCAGTGAGGGAATGGGATGTATGGCTTTCTGGCTTCTCTCTATGATGATCATATCCTCTCTCCTCTCTCTCTCGGTCTCCAGGCCCTTCATGTGATCTGCGATGTGATTCTTTCCGCCATAACACGACATCCATCTTCTTTCCCTCTTCCTCGGGGATATATGGCCCATCTGCTGGCTTTTCTCCTTCTGCATACTCAATCCCGTTTTGTTTCTCCCTTGATGCTTCTGATGGCAATGTTTTTTGTTTTTTTTTTGTCGGTAGTTTGAAGCCTCTGAGAGGCTATCAAGGAGTGGACATTGAGATCCAGCTGCCGCAAGGAAGGTCCGTCCATGAATTCGATTGGCTGTCTGTTTATTGCATCACCTACAAACATGATTTCGGACATGTCCGCATCCCCAAGAATCTTTACGTCCCTCCAGCTCTCGGTCAAACCAAAATCACTGTGAGTATCTCTACCCAAGGAAAAATGTCCTTCCTTCCTTCATCCTTTGATGAATGTAATCCGAACCAGAGGGATATTTAAAATTTTTATTTTTGAATAGCCGCCTTGGTGGTACAAGCCGGTGAGCCCTTTCGAAAACATTAACTAAGACAGGGGTCATGCTATGATGCTGAATGGAATAGCTTTCTAGTCTCATTACGTCTTTTCCTTGCTCATGTACACCCTTTAGACGAGAGGGCAGGAGCCAGAATCCTTGACGAACTGCATTGAACCGATCCCAGGGAAGCTGCAGATCCGCTGGTCTCTGAAAAACGACGAATTTACGGTGAAAATGACGGGGAAGATCGAGGACGAGCAATATATGGCCTTCGGGATCTCCGGCGATCTTCGAACGTGAGATTGATTAAACTTTGTCACAACAATTTAATTTGAGTCGAGAAGTGGGGCGAATACAAATTATGATAATGTTGATTCGGGATGGGATGATCGAACAGGACGAAGATGGTTGGAGGGGACGTGGCCGTGGCCTTCTACGACCGGGCCAGTGACCGCCTCCGGGTCGTCGATTACTACATGACCGACAAGTCTCAGGTAATACATAAATCCTGGCGCTTGTTTATTAGAGACGGGGATGTGGGCATGACGTATCTGGGATTGGTCCAGTGTGACGGCAGAAGAGGGGTGTGTCCGGACGAGAGACTCGGAGGGAAGGATGACGTGGAATACGTGGAAGGGGAACGGAGGAATGGGATCGCGAGTGTCACGTATCGCCGGGCTGCCAGGACCAACGATAACCGTCAGGATATCCCCCTTTCTCCCTCGGCTCGGATCCCCATTATCGCCGCCATCGGGAACCTCAATTCTCGCAATGAAGCGAACTATCACTTCTCGGAAAGGACCGGCCTTGGCTCAGACTTCACCGTGGATCTTGGAGGAGAGAACCAGAATCAATGTGCCGTGTCACTGTCTCAAAGTCAGACTTCTGGGAATGGTGACGAACGAGGGAGGAGTCTGGAGCCGTGGAAACCTCAGATCATCATCGGGCAGAATCGCTTCAAGGCTCAAATCGGCCCAACCGGCGGAAAACGTGGCTATTCGGCTATCACTGGTAAGAGCAAAATTCACATTAAATATCCACGAAGCCGATTTGATACCTAAGGGCCTACATGAATAACCACACGGGATGTTGATAGGGCATAATTCGTGGGGTATCGCCTGGTGGATAAATGAGAAACTCATCCCTGAGATCTACGTGGAAAGAGGACAGGTAATAGACAATTGGTCGATTGGAATTCCCTCGCCTCGTTCCATTCCGTTCATGTCTGTCTCTGCTTTCGGTTCGTAGACATATGAGTTTGAAGTGGAAGGAGGGAACGACAGCACGAGCCCGGCGAAATACCATCCCCTGTATATCACAGACAGCTCTGAAGGAGGATATGGACAGAAGTCAGTGTCTGACCAGGCCAAGGAAAAGGTCTATGCCGGCATCGCCTTCGACCAACAGGGATTCCCCTATCCCTCAGCCAGTCTGTTTCTTCGATCGTCATTCCCTCTTTTTGCTTCAGAAACACACATATCGTCGCAAGTCTGACAAAAGGGCGAGGTGCAATTTTGAGTATATTCAGGAGATAGAGAACACGCTCATTTTTCAAATGGAGGCCTGAATATTGACGAAGAGAATTTGCACCAGCGAATTGTGAGTTCTCTGGTTCAGCTGTAAATATTCTTCAATAATCATTCTTCTTGCTGAAAGAAAGGTACATTATTGCCCTCCTGAACTTGATCAAGAAAGCATATTCGCCCTTTTGTCAAAAATTCAACGATATGATTTCACCTTTTTCTGAAAAAGGTGAAATTCTTAACGCACTTCTGTTACCTCTCACCTGTGTGCAAAACAGCAGTCTATCGCCCCTTTGGAATCGATTAAAAAGTTAGCAGAGCCTAAAAAGTAATTGCTGGGCTTAAGCTTAGTATAGTTCGAACACATTCATTCCAATAACAGTCATTTCTATAGCGCCCCACTTCAAGGTGCCCAGCATCTTACTCTTTCAGGATGCACTGCAAAGACAAAATATTTCATAACGAAGTTTTAGAAATTTTATCGAGACACTATATAATTGTACAGAAATGCTAAATAAATATGAATCCAATCCCTGTACCTTTCTACAGGAACTAGGATATAATTATGTGGAATTAACTATGTTGGTCTATGGTAAAGACTGCTATAATGATGATATAATGTGCAGAATGCATTCTACAATATGGCTACATGCACTAAATGTTCAATAGAACTCGGTTTAACTTCATAAAGGGCTCTTGCTGAAGTCCATTCAGCTTCTGCAAAATATGACCTCATGATTTATTATGAAATCAACTCAAAATCCATTTGAAACAGATATTATCCCAAGGAGCTCATCTGTCCACCGTAATTTAATGTTCAAGATCAACATAGCTGATGCTGAAACATTTTATTGTCAGCATTGAATTCACATGGAAGTATCATTTTAATTAGCATTCAAGAAATATTGAGTCATCCGTAAATTGTTGATTCAACCCTAATGACAAAAGGTTCTTGATACATTGTTTCATTTATGGATAGTGATAGACAGAGCTGCAATGGGGAGCGTTCAAGACGTTACTGCAGGGCTTTGTGGAGGAATGCATCCCCAAGAAATCCATGAAACCGGTCAGGCAACCGGTCTGGTTTATGGGTAAAATCAAAGAAATACCCAACGAGTTCTTCGTTTTCGTTTTCACTGTCGAATCCGACGAAGCACCGAATTTGGAGGAGGTGACCTCGGCGCTCATTGCGAATATTTCCATCACAGAGATCGAAGTATGATAGGGAAGTTAAAGGTGAGCAAGGCGACCGACCCCGATGGAATTCCTGCTCGAGTCATCAAGGAACTCACGAGAGAAATATCGGTTCCTCTAAGAATCATATTTGAAAGCATGTCTTTACGCGGTGAATTACCTAAGGACTGGAGGCTAGCAAACAGCGTAACGATCTTTAAGAAGGGTGAAAAGAGTAATTCGGGGAATTATAGGCCGGCAAGTCTCACGAGTATCCCGGGGAAGATCATGGTGAGCATCCTAAGGGACTACGTTTTGGATTTCCTCGAAGGAAACTCCGGGACTTTCAGCAAGGCTTTAGAAAGCGTCGTAATTGTCTCACCAACTTGTTCAAATTCTACGATTAGGCGACGGAAGAGAGAGATAAGGGGAATCCATGGACATCATCTATTTAGATTTCGCGAAAGCTTTAGATACCGTTCCTAACAAGAGATTGCGGGTTAAACCGGAGGCGCACGGGATCCAGGATAGGACGAGCGAGTGGATCAGTAACTGGTTGACGGTAAGAGAATAACGAGTAATGGTAAATGGGGAAGCGTAGACAAAGGTCGGAGTCGCAAGAGGTGTCCTTCAGGGTTTGGTCTTGGGACCGCTTCCGTTTTTGGTCTACATAAACGATTTATATCAAGGCGTAAAGGGTATGATAAGTAAATATGCCGACGACACCGAAATAGGTTTTTCTGTAAGGGGGGAGGCGGATAGGGCTAGAGCCGAGCGAGATTTGAGTCTTTTGGATGAGTGGAACAAGAAATGGCTCATGAGGTTTAACAAAAGTAAATGTAAAGTTCTCCGCATCGGTCGAAATAACGGCAGGTCTCTCGACTCGTTTGGCAAGGATAAACTGGGGGAGGCAAACGGAGAGAAAGATCCAGGAGTTTCTATCGACGAAGACCTCAAGTTTTCCTCGCACGCACATGCGACAGTGGTCAAAAGTTACGGGATTCTAGGATACATTCGTCGTTCGGTTGCAAGTTCGCGCGTTATTCTTCGGTTGTATACGGCTCTGGTAAAACCCCAGTTGGAATATTGCATCCAGTTTTGGAGGCCTACAAATAAGGGTGAATTGTTAGTGCTCGAGGGGATACAGAGGAGGGACACAAGAATGATCAAGGTTAGGGGACTTCCTTACTAGAAGCGTATAGAAGTATTGGGACTGTACTCGCTCGAGAGAAAGTCAAGGAGAGGCGATCCATCCAGGCTCTCATGATAATTAAAGGAATCGGTAATGTCGAGTGTGGTAGGTTCTTCCAGTTCGATGGCAGCAAGAGAACGAGAGGTAATCGACTGAAGTTGCGTAAAACGCAGGTGCGGCTCAGGTTGAGACAGGACTTTTTTACTTGTAGAGTGGTGAACGCGTGGAATGCGTTAGACGATGGCGTAGTGGCTGCCCCTTTCGTGACTATTTTAAAGAAGAAACTAGATGCTTCTATGGACAAGCAAAAAGCGGGGGCCATGTTGACTTAAGGGACTAGGCAGTAAGCAACTAGGATATGCTAAAAGAAAAAATCACCAAAAATACAAAAATATTTAGCTTTAAGAGGAGTAGGCCTACCCTAAAATTAAGTAACGCTCAACCTCGACACTTGGTATCCAAATGGGTGTCCCCTCTTGATACCACTAAACTACCTTGATACCCTTGAGTGATTCGATGTAGTACTTGACCTGGATAAATGCATTAACTCAATGCCTCCCTGGTTTCTCCATACCATCTAGTATCCACATTGACCATGATATCTCAGTTTACTCTAGACCTGAGTTCAACGTTTATGTCAACAAATATCAGCCCATGGAGTTGGGACACTAGTTGAACTATCTTCCCTCCAATCCCTGACCCAGAACTGATGTGTTCTTTGGAGAAAGGGCTTGTGTGCAAGAGGCACAATTCGAGATGAGTGGTAAAATCTCCTCCGAGCTCATTACCTGCTACTGCAACTGATTATAATTCAGTTTTTAGCGATATGGTGTCCTCGGCATTTTTTTGCTCAAACTTTGGGCTTAAACTAAATTTTTCACTCCAAGTGACTATAATGCAGGCAAAAACCTATAATGTACCTTTCCCATTATGTTTTCTGTATCCACATTCCAAGAACATTTCCTGCCTTTCAGTTTTTTTGTTGTCTTTCTTTATTATAAAAAAAATATATATATATATAATTTTCTTCTAAAGTAAACTTTAGATGTTAGAAAACCCTTCCTCTAAGAAAGGTGAGGGGAATCGGCGTATTTCGAGAAGTTTACCGTGACGGTCTGTCTTTTCCACATAAACAACGTCCCTGCACCGTTTTCTCTTCCTACAGGCATCTATGCATAAGATTGGATAGCGAGTCCTTTTTCTCATCCCCTCCCTCCTCGTAGGCTGGAAACCGCCTCTGCCATCTAGCGAGAGTATGAGGAAAAGTGATGTTCCGAAACATCTGAACCACCTCGAGATCATTCTATCATATTGTTAATGTCCCAAAACAGGGTATTTGCATAGACATGGAAAAGGGTGTATGGGCACTTACGCTCCTTAGCAGAGAACTCCTCCATTACCTGGAGTGCCTTCAAGTTGGGTAACCTTTTTAGGCGAATGTACTGAGGAATTCCAATGTCTTTCCCTTAATTCGCGGGGAAAGGTCGGAGAGTCGTAATAAATTCTGGGGAACTATTCCAGAGACATCAGCGAGTGACTTGCTGTACGACGATTAAAACACCATTTTTGCTTCGGTTTTGGGAACCTTAATTATGCATGTTGATGTAGTGGACATTGAATCAATGTTGTTTTTATGGTGAGATGAATTGAGTGAAGGACACATTGATTCTACATTGAATCAATGTGGAGTTTGACATGGTAACATCAGTTAGCATAGGGAATATTGGTTCAGCATTGTGATTATCATTAACTAGCATCATTTTCAGTGATCGTCGAATAATTCCATAATTTTCTCTGCCGAAGTAATTTATTTTTAGCATAGTACTTAAATCTACTTGAAGGTATCTCTTCCATTCTCATGCCAGTTCGCACTGAGTTGAGAATGTGTGATACCTTTTAGTAGATTTTTCATATTCGCACTCAATATCAAGCACAACAGCAGTCAGACTTGACAATTAGAAGAAACAGCGAAATAGTTTGGTATTGAGGGAAGCAGTTATTCTTGGAGGATCAGTGATGTGCTAATCACTAGTTGCTGCCGGAATAATGATGAGATTACTTGATCTGGGACTGGCAGTGGGGCGGTTGTGCGAGTGGCAGCACAAGACGACAGACAAGAGTGAGAGTTCGGAGACACTTGAGGAATACAAGAAGACTTTGAAGCTGGATTGCCAGGCAGGAAGATCCGGTCAACTCATTTGGACTGTTCCTCTCGATGCGCCCAAAATTCTTTATTACCAGGTAAGATGATGAAAGTGGAGATGAAAACGAGGCTCTATTTCCTCAATTTTTCTCAATGGAAAGTTTCGATGATGATTGTGATGGCGATGGTATTTGTATCTATAGTGTTATACCCACACAAACCTGGGCTGGAAGATCCACGTGGTAGATCCTGGCTTCCGACTAAGAAGGGGGGAACTGAATGCAGCCACCCAAAGCATCATAATTCCTCCTCTTCTCCTCCTCCTCGTCTTTCCTGCCATTCTTCTTAGATAATTTTTTTCATGTTGCCGTGCCTATTCGGGTCTAATCAGATCTTGTGATACCGTGATACGGATGACCAACAATACTGAGTGTGCAAGGAGTGTGTTTTTTTATATCATTTTTCTTTGTGTGAAAGTGCATGAATTTCTCCACGAGTGATTCCAACGTCATTTTGTAAAAGAATAACCTAGGAATAAAGACGTATTTTTATCGAAAGGATATCGAATGGCTGAGGTAAACTATCTGCAAGGGCTATCCTATGGGTAGTATTCATAAAATGCTTACAAAAATGTATACTTCTTAAAGTTGAAATATGAGCCTGTACAAAGTTATGTTTTCCTGACACTTTTACCAAATGCAGGAATTATTTCTGAACTAAGTATTCAATTCTACATTTACAGGTTGAATCTATTTGTAAGCCCACCACTGGCCTTGATGACAGATGAAGGTGAGATGGGTTGGACTGCAAAAAAATGTAAAACGTAAAATGTTGTCTGTGTCGAACTCAAAAGTTTGGAGAACTCTTGCAAATTTTCCGAAGTAAATAATGGGAAAACTTCTCCCCGAGAAGTCCACAGATCATATGATCTTCAACTCCATTTTTTTGCGCTCAACCTGTGTTTTCGCGGACACCTAGTTCCGGGGAATTTCAGGGGAAGTCTGTGTTGGTCAATTGATGTTTTTCAGAAGCTGCTTAGCAGTTGAGGCTTTGAAAGAAGGGTACGGTCGTAAATAAGTATTAGTTGGTTAATGTGCAATATATTCTTAGGCTCCTGCAGAAGGGGATAACATATTCAGCCTAAGGAACACCCCAGGTATATTGGCCAAGTGATACTTTTTCATAAGGACCTTCACTCCTTCAAGCTGTCAAGGCCGATGGTGGGCACACCAAATACTGATTAACACGTTGGCGACAATGCGTCCTGATGCCAGGATGCAGATTTCTTTTTTCAATGAATACCCTCTGGAACTGTTGAGAACTCGCGTGGTCCCACGCGGCGGACAAGCAAAAATAGGCTGGTCGTCAACGTGTTAAGCAAACGTAAATGTAGAAGTGAATACTTAATTCAGAAATAAAACCCATTTTGCCTCACACGGTTTTGCTAGAGGACGGAGTGGGAAGATAAGGTTTCGCGACGCCCTGTATCTACGTAACCCCTAGAGATTACATACTGCATACTTGCGGAAGGCTTGTCCCGCTGGGCTGGAGCAGGCGTGTGAAGATTTCATCTCGCCAGTACTGCGTCCGTAACACGTCTTTTCTCCGATGTTGCGCCCATTCGGCCTTCGTCGGAGTCTGTGCGATAGCTTCAAGGTCTCTCCATCTGAACGTTTTTCTGATGCCTGCACGGGATCTGACTGACCCGGCTATCGTGGCTTCTAAACCTCACACACTACTAGCTCCTCCAACCGCTCTAGGTTGGGAAATACATTATCTCTATGATCCGATCCCACCATCCGCTTCAAATTTGATCTTTGACTAGATCTTCAGGCCCTACCTCACTGCCGCCTTGCATGTAAACGTTTTCTATGCTGTGAATCTTTCAAGCAACTGAAAATCAGAGGAGGCAGATAAAAGTGAATCGTGTGGATGAGGAGGTATTTCCCACTCTAATAGAGCAGATTCTGTACCACCTCATCTTAACAATATAACTCCGCATTTTCACGCAGCTAAATCAAACTTTCTTGGGACAACTTCAACTTTTTTTCGAATTCCTAGGTGAACAGTCATTCAAGAATAAGATAATTCCCACCAATCTAGCCAGTGGGAACTGTATGGTCAATGAAAATTCCATGAATGTCAGAAAGGTCTTCTTGAGCCTGTGAGCTTCTCTGGAAGTATAGCACAGCACTGTATCTCAGGTATCTCAGTTTCTGATTGCTGTGCGTATATTAGAAGTACCGTGGCTACTAGCGAGCTTGCTAGCTACCCGTAACCTTGAGCTCAGGAGCGACTTCATAAATACATGCCAAGTTTGGATAACGACACACATTCTTAAGCATTCACTATTAATATGAATTCACACCCGGGAAGTCACAGTTCCATTGGAAGTTCAATCCATTCCAATTAAACAGGAAATATATAAAGAAAGACTTAAAAAAAAGGCAACTCTACCCTGCAGTCACAGTTGAATTTCCTTCCTTTCGCATGAAAATGAAATGTGACGCTGATTTGGGGCTTAATCAATAACGCTAGGTTATTGGATCTTGCCATTTGTTGAAAATACCTAAGGAGAACTTGGTGTTGGATTGATTAAGTTTGATTGTGAAATCATTTCGTGAAGATAATACGAAGATGATACATAATCGTATGCATTTGGTGATGTAAATTAACCGAGTGACCATAGGATGCATTCTGACGAATCATTACTTCTTCATGATGGAGTCAATATTACGTGTATTTGATGAATTAAATAAATACCTTTCCTAACGACGCATGGAGAGCTGCAAGCACGTCTATATCCGTAACCAGAGTGAGAATGAATTGAGGCAAGCAAGGCTACTTGCTCGCAGAGAACGCTTCAATTAGTCTCTGTTTAAGGCTTATATATGTTGTTTCATGAGCTATAAACACTACTGAGAGACACAGGATCTCCATCTCGAAGGCGGAGATTCAACTAGCTAAACCTCGCGGAAAGCTGTACGCTGCTTTTGTCGATTTCCAAAAGGTTTTTAACTCTCATGAATCGTGCGCTCCTGCTACTCGACGAGGAGTTCAAAGTCGGTGGCCTTCTCCCTTTACAGCAGCGATTTTCATTCCAACTTCCTCCGAATTTTGGATGGACTGAGACCATACGAATGGGGTCCGACAGAAAGGGGTTCTTTGAGGAACCCAACCCATTTCGTGGTCTACATCATGAGTAACGCAGACGTCATCAATAGAGCTACTGCGACAAAACAAGTGTTGTTTTACGCCGACGACCTTGTCCTCTTCACACCCTCTCGTGCCGACCTACGATCGGGGTTAGACGTTCTTCATGGATGGACAAGTGCAAACCTGCTGGTGAACATCGCCAAAACGAAAATAATGAATTTCAGGAAAGGTGGTCGCTTGAGCTCAGTCGACTCATTCTCAATCAGGAACGAATGAAGATTGTCCACCGGTACGAGGACCGTGGTGGAACGGTGCAACCTATCCAAATGTTCAATAACTTCGTTCAAAAGAAGAATCAGGCGGCCTCAGAAACCTTCATCTGCTCTCAACAGCAATGAAAATACAGAGGTCTTATAATCTAAACGCAACTTAGATTATAAGAACTCTTCGTTAGTTTTCGTGATTCGCGAAACCTGCAAGTCGACAATTTGAATCCGCCAAAGCTCTGTTATGAAGTCAATGGAAGAAAATAAACTCACGTTTATTATCATATTATAAATGCTTAAAAATTTGAAACTGCACTTAGGTGTTTTATCAACAACAGAATCAGGCTAAAATTCTACCCAAGGAACTGTCAAGAATTGCTCATCAGAGGAGGTAGGGGAAGCCTGGCCTTCTAAAACTTTTAGAGATTATGTGCATTTTCATACGATGCAAAACAAGCGAAATTCTTGTCTTTAACAGTTGATTCATACCAGAAATGTTCGCAGAAGATGGCCTTCTTACACCCATCCACAGTGGAGAGGAGTATCTCGGAACAGACGCAATTCTGTGATAGAAGATGGCTCAAAAGAAATCAGTTTCGCTGTGGACAGAATTTATTGGTTATCGTCTACGCGGAGTGTTCGAATTGGCGACCGTCGACATCGATGCAATGTTGGTAACGGGCAGAAGCCAACCGAATTACCTCATCGCAAGCACCTTGTCTAATCGGGTGGCATTCCGACTAATCAAATAGCATTTAAATAAACTAACTTCTGCCATTGCGATGTTTCGAAACTCGCAAAGGGAGAAAACTATAAGATCGATCCTAGATTCGGAATTGATATGAACACTCTCCTCCAACTGTTCAACGTATGTTTCAATTTTCGCTTTAATTTCGGATGATTTCGATCGTATATGAGGCATCAAAATTGGACATTTTCTCAAGCGACCTTTTTTGTTGCAATTACGTCCTCGAGAACAGCTGTTCTTTGAACTGAGATTGCCGTGAGTACAACTTGACCGACGTCACAAAACCAGTACAATGACTTTTTGCTCATAACAAATAATTACTAGTATTTCAACACCCAGGAGCTGTCACTAGTCCAAGACAAACCGCTATAGAATCGCAGACATTAGGTTATTGTTTTATGTAAGCAGGGGGGAGGGGGAGGGGGAGGGAAAAAAAAGGGGAGAATGAGACGACCAGGTGGCGGGTACCGAGAACGGATACGTTTGATCGATTATTCTCGTTGCCATGGTATGAGGGGACTACAACACGCAGCATGGCCTCGCCCGCCGTGCTCTCGCATCGTCTCCGTCATCTGTGATATCTTGTGAACGATGGGAGGAGATAGTAGAAAAGATTTCATTCTCCACACCATCGGTGAGAATCTCCGCGTCCGCTTTCGTGAACCAGTTTCCGGCAAAACTCATCGGACTTTGGTCATTCCGTTCCACAGAGAATTATTTTTCCTTGGCGGGGGATAAGGGTCGGCTCACGGACCTTTACACGGAAGGAAGCCTCAATGACTTCTTGGATAATGGAAATTCCTTCATTCTCGTTGCCACGCTCGACAAAGACAAGATATCCCTTCAAAACAAGGTACCCTGATCGTCCTTCATTCCCTTCCGCCAATAGGCACGAGAAGCTGTCGATAACGGAGTCGTATTTTTCTTTTTTTCTGGGAAGTTGAAGGGAAGTCTAAAACCGGAGAATGCATTGATATTCTTCAAGATCCGGCCGTCGGTGATCGTGCCCGAAAATGTTCATACGGACGTATATGTATCGTCGATGATAGATTCTCCCCTCAACACTCTTTATCACGCCCTTCAGAAAGTTTATACCCCTCTACTACTCAAGGTAAGCAAGTGCTGTAGTTTCGTATGCCCTTTTTCATAAGTGAGATGATCGACATAGACCACATATGACCTTCAAAGTCTCCCGTTCGAAGATCATAAGCATCTTTTTATTTCACCGCCTTCCTTTAAAAAAGAAATGGTACCTCAACATAATTGCCGAGCGTAAATTTTGGGGGGATAGGCCTGTGAGAAGTTTTCGCGAAAGTTTGCGGCTTCAATTTTCACAAAATCGTTACCAGAACTCAACTTAACCCGTCTTGGTTGGGGTGAACTTGGCCTACACTGGATTGATTTTGGAATCTGTTGTCATAATAGTTTTTTTAATTAAATTAATTTGAAATCGCAAACTCTCACAGAAGAGCGCGGATGACAGGAATAAGATGGGATAATAAAAAAAAAATTTCCCATCGATTCTTCCGAGTCCCATGAGGAAATGTATTTTTACTAGGGCTGTACCGATGTATCACCGGTATCGGCCGCCGGTGTTGCTCTATCGGCCATCGGCCTATGGCGCCGATGCCGGTGCCTGTGCCCAAAGGACAGGCAAAGGGAAAAAATGGTGTTCACGCGGCTAGGCGCCGGCCGAACTGTATCAACGCCGGCCTCTGCCAGACAAAAATATCGATCGGATTATAGGAATCCGGCAGAGGAAAGGAGCGGTAAAGAGGGGAAGTCATTGCGTTATGCTCCACTTAGGTTATGCTTTGCAAGAGATGTGTCAACAAATCTGACTGCTCAACAGCGGCAATGGATAGCAAGCTAACCACTGACAGCCTCATGAAGATACAAACAGGCTGGACAGCACCAAAAATGGTCTCTATCGTATCAAGGAGGCCTAATGATAAAGTATCACTTGTCTTCCAATTAGACCTACTTGAATTTATGGACGATTTCTTCTCTAGGCCACTTTTGACACCGGCACCGGCCGATGGTTATGAGGAAAAAATCGACCATCGGCCGATGTGGCCACCGGTACAGCCTTAATTTTTACTATGATCGTTGCTCTACATGGAAGAGGATGTAAGAGAAGAGAACAGCACACGACATCTACAAGATAACACGAAGTCGTATCAAAAGGTATCATGTCAGAACATCGACGACAAAACATCGACGTGCCAAAACATCGACGAAATAAAGCGTCGACATACCAACTTCTTTTTCTCGGATTTTTTTGGGACAGCTAATATTACATAACTTCTGAAGGACCTTGCTGCGATCGTTTTTCAATCCATTATGACCGATGGAAGATAGCTTGAGGATGGCATCGTGGCTTCAGCAAGCATCTTCCGGCTAATTATCCTTTTATATGGAAGTTTATTGATTGTCTGAGGAATGAACAGAGCCTGAATGAACTAAAGGATGGAACAGTATATTGCATGACATCACATTCCTTCGAGCCGCAAATTTAATCGTCAATGCTCTCGCGAACAAACTATTGTTTTAGATTATTGGCAGCGACTATTGTAAGAGTATTTACAAAGGATTGCACATAATTTCAATCTCTTGGTGTAATGCTGATCTGCTACAGTGCACCGTGCCATGACAGGCTCCTCTTTCAATGTGTTCTTCTGTTCTCATCGTTTACAAAATGTGATACCTTACTTTAATTCTTTATTATTTTCGTTTCGTCTCTCTTGACGTGGTTTGAATTCCTTTTCATTTAATGTGTACGTATCAATGAAATGTAAAGAATTCGGTACTTCCATTAAAACGTTTAACATTTTTCTCTTCGTTACAAAATCTGAGCTGTGCCATATACATACATGTACGTACGTATGTCCTGTGATCTACGAAATCTGCCCAACTGCTTTTTTTTATATCAACCGTCTTTGATGAGAAACAAACTGCAACTGAGAAAATTTACGGTACATCATAGGCGGATGAATAGTTCCAAGATGCTTGCTGAAGCCACGATGTCATCTTCAACCTGTCTTTCATCGGTCATCCTGGATTGACAGATAATCGCAACAAGGCCATTCGGAAGTTATGTAACATTAGCAATCTCAAAGAAAAAATCCATGAAAAATAAAGTGGAATGCCGACGTTTCATTTCGTCGATGTTTCGTCTCGTCGAGGTTTTGTCACGACGATGTTTTGACATGGAACCGTATAAAAAAAAAATTCCCAGGTGGCATGGTCTTCGGATCATCATTGCGGACTCCAGTATGTATTCGAGCACAGTACTTCTGGCACTTGATGAATTTACATCTTGCCTGACCGAATGACTGCTGATACGTTTAATGTCGCTTGGAAACTATCTATCATAGGTCCAATGCGTGGGAAAGTGACGGCACTCAAGGCCATTCTCCTTAATAGTCATCTTATTTAGCTTACTTGTTCGTAGTGAAATTAGCCCTGCGGAAAGATTTGGTGCATGTCATCTCTGAAATGGCATTCACATTCATGATAAATGCACAGGACGATCAATGGAACAAGAATCTGAGTCCGAAGTTGCAGAGCCTCATCAGTGAACTTGAAGCCGGCTTGGGGACGGTGATTAGGAAGAACGAGGGAGAAAAGCAAACCACATCGTCTCTGGCAGGTTGTCTCACCGTTTGAAAACTTTTTAAATATTTCTTTTGCAAATCCATGCAATCGTAAACGGCAGATCCGATCACGATCGCGTTATAATGCAGGGATCTATCGGCCGGAAGAAGAAAGGGAATATTGGTTGGAGCTGGCATCATCCGGGAAAGGCGGATCGACCGCCCAGAGAATAGCCGCATCGTTGGAGTCCGTTGCAAGGGATTTCTCCAACCTGGATTCCAAGACCCTACAAGAACTGGACGACGTCTTAGAGAACACGTTCACCTCCCTCGATGACCTCTGGAAGGAAGAAGAGTCCTATCCCCAAGAGCGAATGAAACACCTCATGGAAATCATCGGTATATCGATGTTTCGACCCCGCTGATCTCCTCCGATGTCTGCGAGCGACTCGAAAGAGTGACAAAGAGACTTCGTCCCTAGGTTCCACGTTGGCTCAAAGGCTGCAGGAAGATCTGTCATCGCAGGACCTTTGGACTATGCCCTATTCTCAGATGGAACAGATCGTATCCACGAGCAAGAATGTAGCCGAAAAATGGACCGATGTTTCCCAGAGGCTCACCGGTCTCTTCTGGCCGAATTTCGCCCCTCACAAATGGAAGGGCGAACCTTTCCTTCCCAAATACATTCAAGGATTCTCTCACAGGCTCGAAGAGGTAAGTTGCATTGCCACTCGAGTCCAAATCCTTTAGGTACAGAACAGAAGGAATTGCTCGAGATCACGTCCCCAAAAGATTTGAAACAAAACTTTGTAACATAAGAATCGCCCACGAAGATAGTAGGCATCGAAAAGCCGTGCCCGGAGAATGCAATGCTTTTTCTTAAGGTTTCATACACGGACCTTATTTTTTCCTCTAGTGACGGTGATGAGGTGTTCGCAGAGACACCGAATTGCAAATTCTTGGACATCGAAGTTCGGAAACGAACGATCATTTTCTTTTACCTCTCAGCATTGCGTCTTTCTCTGCCCTCAGTGCAGACGGGATAAGAAAGAGCTGATACAAGTAAAAATAGCCTAAATTGCTTCAACCGTCCAATCGCTTCAAAGACTACAAGTTCCAACAACCCGTTTTCAGTGTGATTGTGGTCCAGCAGAGATTCTTAAAATCATTTACTGGCTCTGGTGAAGAGTGAAATGAATGCGGTCTGATGAGGAAAAACAAGGTTCTCTTCGTAATGAGGAATGCCTCGAGATTCTAAAACGGCATATTCGTGCATGGAATCCATTAGTACCTCATTTGTCAAGATTGGTTACGGTACGTAGATTTTGCTCTGGGTAGATCTGTGCGACCCGGGCTCCAGAAAAAAGTTCCCAACCACATGCGTTGCGATTGCCTAAAGTACTGGATTGTAACGGATGAAAGTCGTTGGACCTGGGGGATAGAAGGAAGAGCATTAATGCCGGATTTCATATGTGAGCGTGAATGCAATTGGTGAGGGGTGGGGGGGGGGGGATGTCGTGTGGGAATGGGCGAAATTCCGTTACGATTCTTACCGTGAGACTTTATAGTGGTTCCTTTCAGGAAATGAATTCTTCGTGTTTGATTCCCCTCCTCTATGATCATGCAGATCGTGAACATCCGGACGATCCATCGGCAGCTGACAAATCTCCTGTCACAATCGGAGCAAGGAGAACTGAGAACGGCAGAAGCCTTTTCCATCTTCTTCGGAATGAATCCGGTTCTTTACAATCCCTACACCGAACCGCTATGGCAGAATGCACTTCAACACTACGAAAACTTTCTGAAGCCAGCCGAGCAGAGAATCGCCCACAAACTCAAGGCGCAACTTCGGGGCATGAAGGATAACGTCCTTCAAGTGAGCACAGCCATTCGTAGACAATACGGTTCCTATTTCCATATACTCGTACTGTGCCTCATTTGCATATACTGTGTCTCCCTTTCACGGAGACAAAATAAATGGAAACCTACGGTATCTATTTGGACAAACGAGGTTCCGTTGGACTTGGGTTGCTCTTGGGTTGTAAGTAGTTCGTTGTGCGTCAAAATGTCAAAATGTCGACAGTCTCATGTGCCAACATGATTGCGGAGGTGAAATATGTCTGAGTTCAATCCTTACATTTACTGAGCTTACTTTGATTTTCGATCTGATCGAAAAGTTTTTTTTATCGACGCAAGGAACGACTTACTCATGAATATCAAAGTCCAATGAAACATGATACAATGGAAGCAAGAGTAAAAGAAGCTTTGTATCATTGAATCCTTGAAGAGCCTAGTTTTTTCCCATCTCCATGACTTTTTTTTTTCAAATGTGAACCAAATCAATTGCATAGAACCCAAGTGTTGCTGTACAACGTGATTATAAACTCTTTTGACGGCGTTTGGTACTCGGTACGGTACACATAAACACACCAAAGTGCAGCGAAATGTACTTTCCAGAAATAAAGAGGTTTCCCTGTCGAAAGTTTAGCACGTCGGCTCCACTGAGGAAGGGGAATATATTGTATGCCACTATCATCAATGGTGCATTTGTAAATTATATGTATTACAGGCGCCTTAACAACTTGATTTACGGTATCAAACCACCAAATACATAAATAAAAACACATGCACTTTTTCAAGTTGAACACAATGCTATTGTATTATCTAATATTTGCATAATTATCATAATCCCCGTACATCCATTCCTGTTTTGAATTGCAGATTTAAATAAACGTTTCTTTGAGAAAATCTGATTTGGGGTATACGCCACATACCCCTAAAAATATATACTCCTATCATACTTTGCAACAACGGCTATAAAAATCTGGTATTGTAAAGTAGGATAGGTTGGGAGTTTTTCTAGGACACATTTATATTTTGGATTCGTCTCCAGCTGGTGCAGGAATTTCGTCGCTACACGGCACTCTTGCAACATGAAGTGATTAGAAAAGAATTACAGGATGACAGGATGGCTCTTTTGACTACACTGACTGAGTATATCAAGTCCGCCCGATTGCAATTCAGGTACCCTGCGCATCCTCGGCTCGTTTTCTCCTACGTATTCACGTTCACTAACTGGTGAATTTTCACGAGTGACTTTTGATCTCAGGAGGCAGCAGGGTCCAGGAGCTCTTCCAAAGATAGGAGACATCACCGATACCGTTCGCAGTATCACCTGGGTGCATCAACTCGAAGCAAAGGTATAACTATATTGTTACTGCAGGTTCCAGATGAACATTTTGCCCCGCGTTCTAGATGCAAAATGAATTCCTTCAAATTTCATTACATAGTTGGCTTCGATCGAAGACGTGAGCTCGAAGATCCTGAACGATTTGGGTGGATTCGATACCCTGTCGAGTGGCATTCGGGATTTCAAAGACGAACTGAACGAGTATAAACAGGACCAGTTCTCCTCGTGGTGCAGAGACATCTCGGCCAGCATCAGCGACCAAACCTTGAGGTATATCCCCGTATGATACGCACGAGGATGTTTCAAAAGAAACCGGGGAAGCTGTTGTGGAAGCCATTGTATGTTATGCTGGTAACATCCTGCCCTTTCAATCGGGGTTAGGGAACTGATTCTGCTATCGCACACACGGAGATGACACAGGGTGCATGATGTTATCTGCGTCGTAGCCAAGGACAAATGACAGGTGTGATAGTAAGTACATGAAAAGCGGCTATGCCTGAGCGATTTCTAAAGGCGAAAGGGACACCTACTGGTGGAATCTATCGGCGAATGAGTGAAGCTGTCGGTGAGGGCTGTTCGTCACGAAGCTTTCGACAGGGCAGGGGAAGTGTGGAAAGCCTGCCACGGCCGGACCAAGCATGTGTTATCTCGATAACGACGACGATGTTGAGAAGGTGGACGGAACAAAACCTTGACCTTGAAAGCACCATGGGTGACATGCACCGAATCCGTTTATGCTTAACTAATCTGATCTCACAATGGTACCCTATGGGAATCAGTATAACAGAGATAAACTTATTCCCATAGACGCCCATTATGAAAACGAATCAGTTTAAAGTTAAATGAATCTGGTGCATGTCACCCCTTGTCACCAGATGCCTATGAGCATCGGATCCATGCACATTCTCGTCCACGACTACCTAGGTTGTCGGACGATGCGTGCACACCGTGTCCCAAAGGAGTCCTGGCAATAGTCGAGGCTTCCTCAAAGCATTCAGTCGAAAGCGTTGGCACCGGTCACACGCAGGGGATTTTGACGAAACAATCCTCGTCGTACTATGTTCGTTTTTGCCGGTAGATTCAATCAGTGTTTGTCATTCCTCAACCAAATAATCGCATTGCACTTCGCTGCTCTTCTTTGGACGATCTTATCATCACGTCTGCCGTTTGTATGTGGCTGCAACACGGCGTACCTCAGACAGCCTGGGTCGTCAACCCCGCGGGCGGATGCACAAATTCATGCCCTGCCAGAAAGCGCAAGAAGTTACCAACAAAACTGCGGCATCGATAGCAGTTTTCCTAGTTACATTTGAAAGTCTCGTATGAGGCAGGGGTTCCCAACGGGTATGGTTTTGAAGAGCCACATCACCCTTCGCCTTAGGATTGGAATGACAATTGCAAGGCGTCAAGTTTTTCATTGAGAAGATGAAACGGGTCTAGCTAATCGCTTGCAACTCTTATATCATCTTGTCATCTGAAATCATGAACTGCAGAACCTGAAGCCTAACAGGTAGTGAAGCGGTGGTCACAACGAATAAATATTACAACTGACTAAATTGGGTTCAATTCAGGGAGTGGAGTTGATGATCCACTCCAGAATTTCAATGATAATGCAGTGCCAAACTGCAGTCGATATCGTGGATCCCCCATTTCTGATTTCCTAAAACAAAAAGTTACAGAGCTGGTCAGCTCGTAAGAGGCCAGCAATAAAGATCAGGAAGGTTATAGAAGAGTCCGAAATTGCCGGCAACAATGGTGATACTGGTTTGAATGTAAATCGGATGCAAACTGTACTTGGAAGGCAGGGAAGTCGCATCAGTCACGTCTTGGGAACCCCTCATACGAAATTTAGCATCTCCGTCGGAATTAAAGACTAGATTCTCGAATTGAACTCACGAATTGCTAGCTTGGCGACAGAGAAGAAGGTGGCGGACTTCAACAAGCACCAAAAGATGATCATCACGTACAATCCAGCCTTGGTGACGCTGATCCGAGAGGTCAGGCAGTTATCCATCCTTGGATACAAGATACCGGCAAAAATTCTGGAAACGACTCAACTCGCCCAAAAATACATGAAACAAGCCAAGGCCCTTGATCACGTACGTTACTCCTCCAATAATCTCACGATTTATCCAAATAAAAATTGAGTGAAGGGTTGAGCCGGGAAATCCGGAGAGGAAAATGCTCTTATAATATCCAAAGTTACTTAATAATTTGAGTGACATCACGATGATAATGATCTTTAATCTACATAGAATAGAAATATTAATTTTAATATCCATCGCAGCGGACGCAACAACGTTGTGTTGAACAAAGATTGATTTCTCAACGTAGCAATATTGTCACAACATTTTATAAAAGGTTGATTCAATATTACAGCAATGTTAAAATGAAACACAGTTCATCATTGAAAATGCGCTTGAGTCACGTTGTATCAGCAATGGATTGTAAGCGTCTTGGCATTACCTTCTCATTTTCTTGACTTTGAAAATACGCTGAAATTGATAATAAAAAAAAGCGCCTTTTCTTGAACCATTAAGCCAGATAACCGTATCAAAAATACTTGGGAAAAATTCCAGTCATCAGGGTGAATCGGCGGTTAGGCGCCATCTGGCGCCGAACCTTTCTTCCGTTGAGAATCTGCCCATGATTCAACATATCCGCAATGTCAATATTGGCTTGAGACCGTAGAGAACCGTAGCAAGCTGCGCTTAAATCGTCGTTATACACTCAGAGAAATCGGTGAATCGAGACGATATACTTCTCTCAATTTTCGCATTTCGATTTATTTTTCTCAAGAGAAAAAGACATCAGCTGGATTTTCGATTTATATCTCTCGCTTCCCGACCGTGCCGGGTCGCCTGAAAGGCGTTTGCAAAACCAAAATGCGTCTATAGCAGAGTCGAGAGGGTGGTTTGAGTTGCCTTGCATCGTCTAGACGCATGTTAACCTCCGTATTCCACTTCGTGCCGAGGAAGCCTTCCCCCTCTCCCTCCCCCCCTGAACCCTCGGGGCTATGCATTGACAAGGGATTCACAGGCAACCACCTGAGTGCATGGCCTGTTCGCCACTTCACCTTCCCTCCGACCCGCGCGAGTAGCACGTGCGTCTCGAAGGGATTCCCATGTAACCGCTTACTTCATTCTTCGAGTCCAGTTTCATACGTTGTTTGTATTCCGTTTGGTGCGTTGGTGGTGCAACACATATCGCATTCGGGCTCTAAGNTCGCGCCCCCCCCCCCTCCCCCCTTAACCCGGCCCTGGTCTAAGGAGGTGCTGAACGTATACCTACACTTACGTATCCTTTATATACGTAGTCTCCCATATCGGCACCAAAGCAGGGGGGGGAGAGGAAGAGCTTGGGCTCCCCATCCATCATTGATCCAAACAGATCTAGGCTGACATCTGTCAAGATCCTAAAATAAAAGTGCCTTCAATGGATGGCCTACGTTAAATAAGGGAGATCCAGATCAAGAGGTTTTCTTTCCATGAAAATTCATCATAGTTGTGACAACTAGCAACAACAATAACAAGCTGTCTTCCTGTTGCAATCTCTAATTCTCCACGTAAAAGCTAGAAGCCGTGTAAAACGAGGTGCTGTCCAATTGAAGCGGCAACTATCTTGATTTAAAGAGGAAAAGGTCGTTTGTTTATTTCTGACTGATCTTCATTCGGCTCTTAATGTGAACTGGGTTAGACGAAAACGCCTTCTAAATTCTATCCTTTAAGCTAGAATTCTGATAACCTTTGTCAGGCAAATCCAGGATCTGGACCTCAGCTGAAACTAAGGACAATGTCACCTTACAGGGCCCCCATCCATGAGGGACCGTAAGTAGGGGTGCGCCCAGTGCGCCCAGGGGTGCCAGGAAATGAAGAGGGAGAAAAAACGGAAGGAGAAGCTTACGCAAGGGGAAACGGAGGGGGAAAAGTTGGTCAGCTGGTCGAAATGAGAAAATTATGTAAAATGAAAAAAATGCTGAGTCTTAATCCCCCCTCCCCCTTTCAGAGTTTTCTCCTACTGACATCCCCTGCCCTAGCCCCATCATGATTGGCTTTGTCCGTAGGGATTTTTTAAGTCCAGTGATATTGAAGAACTAGACCTCTCTGTGCGCGTGAACAGGGCTGGTGCTCCGGAGGAGGGACGCAAGGATGATGCCCTGCCCAAGGATGATGCCCTGCCCAAGGGGGTCAGGGCATCAGCCTTGCGTCCACCTCAAGCAGGGCAAGACATCTCCATAGAGAGATCGAGTCGATAGACTTACAAGTTGGAAGTATTTATTGACTGCACAATATTGACTGCGGGTAGCAGACCAAGTTAATACTTCAATGCATCCAGACACAGATGGAAATGAATTGGATCATGACCATATGCACATCACTTAATGCGAATAATATGACTGCTTCCTGATATCAAGTTGACTAACTGACTTTCCATTGGTATGATACCTGAAATCTGTACATTCTAAAATTATAAATGTACATATATAATTTACCTCGTATAAGAGCTGTACCGATGGCCACATTTTGCGATGAACTGATGGTCGATTATGATCTTATACCTATCGGCCGGTGTAGGTGCCTATTGTCACGTGTAGAGAAACAGCGAAGAATCATCACCAATTTTTTTATTAATTCAAATAGACCTATTATGAACCCAAGTTAAATTTTTTATCCCTGTCACTCTGGGTGTTTCGAGAACATCCATGAATCGACCTGAAATATCGAGAGTGCATCGATGCACCTGGGGAGTGGGGTGCCGACAGATTCAGTCTTTCCTAGCTGTGATCTTGTGGAAGTATGACTTCCGTGGTTTCTTACCTCTATCCGTCTTCCATAATCTCTTACTGTGATCGAGGAATGCGGGTGGTGGGTGTGACTGCGACGGGTAAAAAGTCTGCCATGCCTCCAACTATCGAAACTGACATCCATACATCGATGGATGCATCAGGACAGCCCTAACTTTTCCCTATTGCCGTTAAGAATCAGTTACCGAATCCCATTTTTGTAGGTTTTTAATTTTTACATTTTTTACTTTTCTTCGTTCGTTTCTTCATTGGACATCGGCACCGGCAGCCTGCAAACCTGCCGATGGCCGATGGTGCCATAAATGGTTGCCGATACATTGGTGCAGCCCTAATCATAATTTGTAACGAGGAAGTACTGCCATATCCATAGAGCGACGTTAATTCTTGTATCATAGATATATGGGCGTATAGTCAAAATCACCTTGATATCATATCTTCGGCAATTATTAGAACTTAATATAGCATCTTGACATCTGCATTATATATTCATTCTGGTTGGGATTGTGGAGTTTTGAGGTTATGTGAAGAGTAGTTAGAAGTAACAAATAAACGAAGCCATTCGAGCCCATTTTTCTCATCACATGTACTGTTTCCTCTTCATGACTTTGATCTCTCTTGCCATTGACTATAACACGTTGATATTTACACAGATTGCAACAGTGCACAACACGATCTCGGACCGTATCATTCGAGCGGTGATGCCTCTTTTGCTGGAAAGTGCGTTGGCATTGAACAACCTGGTGAGGGAGGAGCACTCCGTCACTTGGTCGGATGCCAAAGCTGTTGATGCCTACATCGCCAAGCTTCAAAATGCCGTCGAGAAGCTCAACCGAGACAATAACCGAGCCTCGTCCTTCCACTATCAACTCAAGGACAAGACTATTCAACTTATGGGCATGGACCTGTTAAGACACGAAGAAAAGTGGAAGGAGAGGCTGAAGGAAATTCGTGGAATCATCGCTGCTGCGGAAACAGCGGGATTCCGCGATCTCAAAGGATGGAAGGCCCATTGGGATCACCAGCTCTATAAGGCCCTGGAGCATCAGTATCAAGTCGGCTTGGAGTCCCTCAATCAGCACCTTCCAGGTTTTAGGATCGAATTAGTCTATCAAAATCAGGAACTGGGGTTCAAACCACCCATGGAAGAGATACGTCGCAGATACTATGGCCAAATGAAGAAATTCCTCTCTATCCCTAACAAGTTCAAAGGTAAGCTGGAACACAAGATCAGGAACTAAAATTAAGGCACGAGATCCAACATTATGCAATGACGAGTTCTGAATCTAGGTGTTGCAGAGGGTGCAGACAAGAGTCCCATATTCGCCATGATGATCGACAGAAATGCCCATCGGTTCAAGGGCTTGTTTCTTCAGGCGGACACGCTATTCCTTCATCTTAATGTGATTCGTGATACATTCTTTGATGCCGTTCAATGGGCCACGGTGGACCTGACCGAAGTGGCAGAAGAGGTTCTTACGACCTGGGACGACTGGGACACCAGTTTCAAGACCATCTCCCAAATGGGCCAGCAGTTCAACAAACTCCCCAAGTACTTGCATTTCAAATGTATAAATCGTTATGACCACGTAAGGTGACAGGAGTAGACTCCCAAACGTAAAATTTTCATCAAATGAAAGTCAACGTTTCGAGGAAGCAAGTCTTTTTTCAGGATATCTAAATATCTATATACATAACGACCGGCGGATGACTGTATGGCCGGATTTTGGCCAGTGAACTCCTCCTAGGTTTCTCAACCGATTTCCACCATCGATACCTCATTCGATTTGTAATTTCCTGCAGATGGTCCAACTCATTTTAGATTTTTTTTTAGAGTTGACCTTTGACCTGACCCGGATGACCTTTCGTATTAATTTTAGATGCAATTTCTAGCCTGACACCATTCGAAAGTCCTTGAAATCCTTTGTTATGATTTCTTTTCACGTTGGAAAAATGTTGAGATTTGATCCTGCTGCGGTCAATCTAAGGTGAAAATGCATGGGCGTCATCTCTGTATGGATTAAATAACTACAATGAGATGCTTCACCTAGACCTATTTCAGGGATCCGTTGTAGGCCAAGATGATTTTCATATTTCCACCCATCAGACGGCCAGCGTAGCGGCACCCGCTAGTCTATAATAAAGAAAATAGGTAATATAGCACTTAAGAGGAAATACAAGAAGGTAAACATAGGAAAAAGGAAAAGGTGTGATGGGTCTAAGAAGAATCCGGTTCGAGTGTGAAAAAATCCGTTAATAAATGATAATTAGGGTAGAATAAAATGAACTTAAATTTCAGATAAAACTAAGGAATAAAAGCAGAATGGGAAGCAAGTACAACAGGCGAGAAATAAAAATTTTGAAAAGAGAAAGAAAAAAAACGGAGATAGGAAGCTTAGAGGTTGTTAGTGATTGTGATGAACATATCGAAAGTGCTCACAGGCCCTCACTATGAAAGGTCGTCCGGTTTCGCCCACATTTTGACTATTGCGCAGGTTACAGGAAAGGAAATGGATTACAGTTAGAGAATCGCAAGAAAGACTTTTGTCTGATTTGAAAATGCTGGTTCAAACTGAGAAGGAAAAGGAAGAGGCGCTCGAAGTAAGAATGTAAATCGGGGAAACGGGGTTCTTACTGAGGAAAGTGTCATTTTGAACAGAAATTCCAGGAAGAATGAGGCTTAAAGCCCTAAAAAAATGTCCACCTCCCATGTGGATTTGGAACCAGGTGGATGTCCCCTTAGGCGTATTTCCACCTGTTGGAGTGATGTCCACCAGGGAAGGGTAATCCACTTAGCTCGAAAGACATGTGCCCGAATGGCTAAGTGGATTTCCACTGGGGGGGGGGGTGTCCACCTGGTTCCAAATCCACCTCCTATCCACCTGGTTATTCAGTCAGGTGGATAGGGGTGGACGTTTTGTAAGGGAGAGCAAAAATATATTTTAAGTTCGCTGCTCGTTTAAAAGCAACGAGAGGGGACACCGGCAGTACCAGGGGTAAATCAAGTTCAAGATGAGAGGAAAAGGTATTTCATCAGGATGTGGACGTGAGAAAAAATTGGGCTATGCCGAAGGGTGAGGATTGGTTCTAGATTAGGGGAATGGAGATACATAGTGAGGTTTGGGATTTTCTGGTTGGACAACAGTAGGTTCCAGGAGAGTGCAACGATTTTTGCTGGAAGCTTTTAGGAAAGCATAAGTTATCAGGTCGGGTAGGAAGCCATAAGAGAAGAGGAATATTTTGAATTCTGAGACGGTAGAAGAAAGTAGACTTGTCAGGGCATATCCTCCTCCTAAGTAGAGTTAGGCCCTTGGGAACGGATCATTTCTGGTGATGGGGATGACAAGAATAATAATAAAAAGAAGCAATTAGAATGTTTCCAGAAGACTGTAAAAAAGAAAAGAAAATTAATTGATGCATCAAGTCTGAGTACATGGGAAGACTGGGGTATAGTGGGATACGGGATTTTTGGTTGTCTTAAACTAAATGGAACTTCTTGCAAACGGTAGCTGGCCCAGGATTTTCATTGAGTGGGGCAACCCGTCCCAATGGCATTCAACCTCCGCTCATCATATGCAGTGACGTCGCTAGGGTCTCTATGTCACTACATTTACAGCGGATTCATTTAATCCTCCTTATCTATCGTGTGTCTCTGAGAGCTGCTCTTGCAATTGATACATCAATGTATATTTAAATAATAAGGAGGGCCTCCTGCAGTGTCCCTCACTGCATATGCAGCAAGTTCCCATTAAGAAGACATTCATCTCAAGTGCCTACATCGCTATTCTGATAATATTAACAGAATATTTTCGGGCTCTGTTCTAATTCTACTTCTCGTTCCGAATCAACACAACTGCAAGGTAGTAATCAAGAATAAAAAACACTTATTCCAATTTCTTTTCTTTTTTAGATCCTCTAAGGACCACACCACCCACCCCTAAAGACAGGTGGAATAGATTTCCATTTTATATTTATTGGAATTGGAGTGTCTCATACTGCCCTGAGTCATACTGAGTCGCCTGTCTGACTGTATCCAGGGGGAGGAGTCATTCATTGCATTTGAAACACAAACTTTCATCGGAAAACAGAAGGAAGAGACCCTGAACTTTTTTTTTTAATAGCTAATGATAGGAATGTTCTCTAATGTATTGACTCCTTAAATTCCAAATACCCCATCAGATTCTACATGTATATGGAATTTAGATTTGGGAGGATGAGGGGGGAGGGGGATTTTCGAAAAACTGCTGCACTGTATCCTAATCTCCCCTAAATTTTTTTCGGTTGGCAGTGGCGAACAGAAGCTGGAATGTTTCACCATCAGCTTCTCTTCGATTCATGACGAATTAGACAGAATGAAGGAGAGGTATCTCAACACTCTGGCGAACACTCTTCACAAGTCCATCGTCAAGGTCTCGCCTATGATCAACTTCCCAGATTAAAGTTTACAACTTAAAGTCCAATCCTAATTATATATTTGTTTTATCATTCCCCAGGATGCTTCTCAGGTCGAAAAATTCTCTGCAGAAGCTACAGAGACACTGAAAAGACAGCCACAATCCGTAGAAGAAATTGGAGAAGTGAACGCAAAGCACGCGGAATACACGGCACAAATGAATCAGGTCAGATTTTCCCCCCCAATTATGTATGATATGTCGTCACGGATAAGCATTGGCTTGTGTTGAAATGTTTCTGTGTTTTAGATGCTATCCCTGATGGAAGGAGCAGAGAAGAAGAACCGAATCTTGGCCAAATACATGAACAGGAAAGTGGAATCCCTCCCAAATGTCCTCAATTCCTGGGACAACTTCTCATCTCTGATGGACTCCCATCAACAGATGATCAGCCAACAAGTTCTCTTAGCCTCCAGCATATCTCCCAGGCGAAATGTATCCTGCGCAACATTCTCCAAGGTTAATGATCTTATCTCGAAATAGGTTGAAGCGATCAAGGCAAACCTGCTGACACAAGTGGACAACTTCAATGGAGAGCTAGAGAGGTTTGCAGCCCGTTGGCACCAATTGAAGCCGAAGGAAGAGGCATTGGAAGGGGGTGATCAATCCAAAATCGAGGCCGGCATCAAAATCGTGAAAGAGAAGCGCAAGGAATGGGACATCCTCATGGAAACTCGAGACACACTTCAGTCAGTCACCTTTCCCTTTCTGCCCTCCCATCCTTCCTTTTCCTTTCAACACAGTTTTCAGAAAAGTTTAATTAATGTTATCTTGATGAAGGAAGGACTTTGGACAATTTCGTATGGAAGAGCCGAAATATCCTCTTCTCTCGGAGACTGAAGCAGATCTCCAGAAATATGAAGCAATGTGGTGCCAATTCGAAGAGTTCAGATCAGGTGAACCCCAACAACATTACTCTTTCGTCGTCCTTAGTGACACGAGACCGATAATCCTCAAATTTAATCGCAGGTTTACGACAATACGAGGCCGAGGAATGGATCGTATTCCGAAGCAAAGTGTATCAATTTGAGGAATACCTTAGTACCTGGCAAGAGAAACTGAGTTCCTCGAAAGGTGAAACTACCACCCTCACGCTTCGACTGATACAGGATGTCGAGAAATATCGAGTGAGCCCATGGGAACCTGTAGCCGAATGAAGAAAATTTATTCAATACTTGGTTACATTTCATAAAGGCAGAGCTAGAGACACAAAAAATATGCGAAATCCTGTTCACTCTCTAGGAAGTAGTTCCAGTGCTGAAATATGTGAGAGGGGAGTCATTTTCGGACAAACATTGGATGGAAGCTTTCAGTCTCTTGGGGATTCCAACATCCACATCTCCTGTCCAGTTAATCTTTGGTCATCTCCTCAGGGTCCGAGACGCTCTTCTCGCTAATACTGACGCCCTCAAGGTAAGGAAATATTATTCTGTATGCCTTTGATAATTTAAAAATCATGCCCAGTATGAACGCACATTCGGACGAATGCCTAGGAATTGAACGCGAGGGCCCAGGTTGAGGTAGTGATCAGACAGGCGTTGGATAAACTGGATGTTTGGGCTTTCGATTCACGATTCACCTTCAGAGAACATACTGACAGCACTGGAACTCGAGTCTCACTCATCAAAGAATGGAAAGACACAATCAACAAGGTAATGTGGCAAAAGTGTCACAACCCCCTGACCGATGCCATCATGGTCCCTCTTACCTTTCTTTCTTCATGCAAGGTCGGTGACCACCAGCTGATCCTGCAATCTGTCAAGGATTCTCCGTATTACGATGCTTTTAGTGGACGAGCGACGGAATGGGAGAACAAGCTGGCTGACTTGGATTTCTTTCTTCACAATCTCAACCAGATTCAGAGAAAGTCGGTCTATACGATTATTCTCAAGCTATTTCTGTCGTAGTAAAGGATTCAGGAAAAATCGGTTGTGTTTTCAGATGGGAGTATCTGGAACCGATCTACGGGAACAAGTTGATCCCAGACGAAAAAGCGTTGAGTCGATTCCGAAGAATCGATAGCGATTTCAAGATGGTCATGGGAGATATCGAACGGGATTCCAAAGTAGTCAGTCTTTGCAAGATATCTGGATTAAGGAACATACTCTCCAACATGCTCGAACAACTCAACTGGTCTCAGAAGAGTCTCAATGACTTCCTCGAGGTAAAAACTGTCCCAACATTTTCGAATGGTCACATTCTCTACTTCCGAATTCTCACACCACAAAATCATTGCAGGAGAAACGAAACATTTTCCCTCGATTCTATTTCATCGGGGACGAGGATCTCCTGGAGATTTTGGGCAGATCCACAGACGAAGGTGTGATTCAGCAACACCTGAAAAAACTCTTTGCTGGGATCCACAGTGTAGAATTTGACAACTCCAAGACCAAAGTAGTTGCCATGAAGTCTCTGGAAGGAGAACTCGTGCCCCTCGACAATCCTGTCACTGTCACCACCCATATCGAGGTATCCATCGGCCGACGCACATTACGGAAATATTAGTTAACCTAAATTATTATCAAATGATTATTTGTGTAACTGTTCAATGTCATTTTTGAAGATTTTGAGAAACTTGGTATTATTTCCTTGTGCAGGAATGGTTGGCACTGCTTTCTAAGGCGATGAGGTCTACCCTGAAGGGCTTGACTGTGGAATGCATTGATATTGGCAGAAACGGAAGTCCAGATCCTCTCAAATATCCGTCCCAAATTTTGTGTCTAGCCGAGGCCGTCCTTTTCACGGAAAGGTGCACAGAGGCCATTCGACGCGGTCGACTGTCCGATTTTATGAAAGACCTGCAGGTATATCTTCTTGTTATGACACAGGAGAGTAAAATTCAAAAAGCAGCATGAGATGAGACGAGTAAAATGTTCCCGCATTTTCAGAGGCAGTTGGAGTCTTTGACAAGCCAACACCTCGACCCAGAGGACACTGAGAGTCACGTTCTCGAATTAAAACTCAAGGCCCTGGTCTTAGACACGATCCATTACATCGATGTCGTCAATGGACTTATCGATGCCGATGCCAAGTCCCTCGAGGATTGGATGTGGCAGAAACAACTCAGATATTATCTGGATCCGAGTGACAAAATGGTGAAAATGAAGATGGTTGATGCCGAGTTCCTCTACACCTACGAATATTTGGGGAATGCCCCGAAACTCGTTCACACTCCTCTCACAGACAAATGCTACCTCACTCTCACTCAGGTGATTTGTTTCCGTGTCCCATTTGAAACAGTCTCACAGAATGGCCAATGGAACGGTAATGTCCTGATGTTAGGGAATGAAAATGGGACTGGGAGGGAATCCATATGGTCCAGCTGGAACTGGGAAAACGGAATCTGTGAAAGCCCTTGGGGGACTTTTCGGGAGGCAAGTCCTTGTCTTCAACTGTGATGAGGTACTCCACATTTCCCTTTTTATTGTATACATTCTGTTAAAAACAGGTCTTCCATGGTATTCAGAATTGTGCGACATGTTTTTTTTTTGCCACGGATAGGGGATTGACGTGAAATCAATGGGGAGGATCTTCGTGGGGATCGTGAAATGTGGAGCATGGGGATGCTTTGATGAATTTAATCGACTCGAGGAAGCAGTCCTTTCTGCTGTTTCCATGCAAATCCAGGCCATTCAGGCTTCGTTGAAGAAACGCGCCTCCTCTGTCTCTTTACTGGACAAGGAGGTATGGTCGTGCACCTTTCCTTCTTCTTTCAAAATCCCCTCTACCCGTCCATACATGTCTTGAGGTCTTTTCGTCAGGTGAATCTGGACCAGAATTCCGGGATCTTCATCACGTTGAACCCGGCAGGAAAAGGGTATGGGGGTCGCCAAAAATTGCCCGATAATTTGAAACAACTTTTCCGACCGGTGGCCATGAGTAAACCAGACAATGAGCTCATTGCCGAGGTCATTCTCTTCTCGGAAGGGTTCAAAAACGCGAAGATGCTTGGAAATAAGCTCGTCGAAGTCTTCAACATTTCCAGGTTCCTTTCTGAATCTCCATCATGGTATATTTTTTCTCTCGCTTTCTTTTCCCATTGAGTATATCCGTCACTCTCTTTTTTTGCCAGCGAGCTACTGTCACGGCAGCAACACTACGATTGGGGTCTTCGAGCCCTAAAGACAGTGCTTAGGGGTTGTGGGTCAATGCTCCAAGAGAGGAAAAAGTCCTCAAACGAAGGAGGGGAGAGAATGGAGACAGAAATTGCCGTTCAGGCCCTTCGTCTCAATACCCTGTCCAAGTTGACTTTCGCGGATTCTGTTCGATTTGACGCCCTCGTTGCTGATATCTTTCCCGGCATCCCATTCCTAGAAGTGGCCTACGAACAACTTCAAGAACAACTGAGACAGAGTGTTCTCGATCTGGGTCTTTCACCCAACGAAAATCAGGTATTTTATCCAACACGAATAATAATTTAGAAGGCAATGTCAGCCTGAGGATGTCACTGGGGAAAAAAATTATTTGAAGGTGAAGAAGGCGGTGGAGCTGTACGAGCAGTTGCAGCAACGAACTGGCGTGGTGATCGTAGGCCCTTCGGGAAGTGGGAAATCTGTTCTCTGGAAAATGCTGAAACAGGCTTTGACAAAAGGAGGACAAGAGATCGTCCTTCACACGGTGAATCCGAAGGCCATGCCCAGAACACAGCTATTGGGTCACATGGACCCTGATACCCGAGAATGGACTGATGGAGTTCTCACAAAGAGTGCCAGGGAAGTCGTCGCACTTCCCAAAAGTAATTGATCAAAACTCACTCCGTAAAATCTTATGTAGTCTCTTCGTGTTTGAGAACTCGGAAACTGTTTCTATTTTCTCGATGTTCAAATGGGTGAATCTCGTCTCCTCTAGCGACGAAGGCGTGGATCATCTGTGACGGAGATATAGATCCGGAATGGATCGAATCTCTCAACTCTGTCTTGGATGACAATCGACTGCTGACGATGCCTTCTGGTGAACGGATTCAATTCGGCCCCAACGTCAACTTTCTGTTTGAAACGCATGATCTCAGCTGCGCTTCGCCAGCAACTGTCTCTCGAATGGGCATCATCTTTCTCAGGTTACTAATGACAACAACAACAAAAAATCATTCTAGCTTCAAAATCTAATTCAGACTATGAAGAAAGTACCTCCTTTATTACATTGAAGTGATGAAGACACAGATGTGAAGTCGGTCGTGGAGTCCTGGATGAAGAAACAGTCCGATGATGGCCAGATGTTCCTCTCACGCTATTTGGACGATTATTTCTACAAAGGTAAGGAATCACTAAACTTCGGTCTTCCATGCCTGAAAGCAGAATACGGGGAAATATATTTTTGCTTCTTTCTCAGCCGTGCAATGGGTCTTAAGCCAAGGAGAGCTAATAGTGGAGATGAGCTTGTTGGGCATCGTTCTCAGCGGGTTATCTCATCTGGCTGGAGTAAAATCCCAACCACAATTCACTATTGGGCTCATCAAGGGCCTGGGAGCCAACCTTTCCTCGCTATCCAGGGAAAATTTCGCTAAAGAAGTATGGAGTGTGAAAAAATGAGAGCTCTTTGCGTCACCATATTTTCTTGAAAGTCTTTAGCAGGGATAAACAATTTTCGGTAGGTATTTTCATGGCTTGGAGAGCATCCACCGAATCAGAGGAACCCCCTCAATGCCTACTATAATGCGAGCCGAGATAGATTAGACTCCTACGAAGGACGTCAATCTCAAAGAATCTCGATTCAATCCCTGAATGGGGATGGGAAGTTGCCATTGATTGAGACCCCTGGTGTTCTCGCCAACATGGATTTATTCAAGCCCTGGCTGGACTTGAATTCTCCCAAGGCATTCCTTCTCGTTGGACCTGAAGGATGCGGCAAAAGGTCAGCCTCCACAAATGTACTGTTTACCTGGCAAAATGATTCTCTAATCAACGGTTGGTGGTCTTCCACTACAGTATGATTCTGCATCACTGTTTCGAGAACTTGAGGTCCACTCAGGTCGCCACTGTTTACTGCAGTTCACAGACTTCCCCTCAGCAAGTCATACAAAAACTCTCACAGGTTGGGAAGATCTCGTCCTTCCTCAGTAGGGTATACATTTTTTCGGATTTTTTTAGCCCACAAGACAATTATATTCCCCTTTAATTAAGACTTGCAAGATGATAACAACGAACACGGGTCAAGTCTATCGCCCCCTGGGCACAGAAAGACTCATTCTTTATTTGAAAGATCTCAATCTCCCAAAGCCGGACAAATGGGGTACTTCCCAGCTCGTCGCTTTCCTCCATCAGGTAAGCTTTCTCTCCAATGGGAAATTTTGAAATTGAAATAAGGAAATGCTTTCATGCATGAGTTCAATCGGATTCATATGGTAGCTGGTCGCGTACAACGGGTTCTACGACAGCGACTTGGATTGGGTGGGCCTTGAGGGGATCCAGATTGTGGCTTCTATGGCTCCTGGAACAGCACAAGGAAGACATTCTTTGTCAACACGGTTCACTTCCATCGTTCATGTCGCTTACATCGAGTACGTTCCGTAGTAATCCGTAGTAGATCCACTCCGTAGTAGCTCATTCCTATTCTCTGAAGCTGTCATTCTTCCTGACGGATTGTTCAACTTGACTTTAGCTATCCTGAGGAAGAAGAACTGAAAAATATATACGAAACATATCTCCAAGCCGTTGTCGAGCACATGGTCTCCCCAAACAATCCATGGAGAACCCCTAACAAGATTGAGAACCTGGCTTCTGCCATGATCCATTTATATCAACAGGTAAGATGAATTCGTGAGACTCCCCAAGTAATTTAAATCTGCCGGTTCTGAACGATCACGAGGGAAATTAAGACATAAATTTTATACCATTAGCTGAGAAAGAACTTCAGCGTGGACGATCACGGCCACTACATGTTCACGCCTCGGGACCTGACCAGATGGATTCTGGGCCTACTGAGATACAATCAAGATGAGGGAGAAGATCATATGTTACTAGAGGCTTGGACTTACGAAGCCATTCAGTTGTTCAGGATCAAAATGGCTGGAGATACAGATCGACAGAAATGGGATACCATCGTAACAGAGATACTTTCGTCGCATTTTGGAGCCAGGGATCTCTTTCCTAAAGCCCGAGGTATGTTGCCCACCCTTCAACTGGTTTAAACCGTTTCGTTGGTTAAACCGAGTAACTCTTGCGTCGCTTTTGAAGAGAATGAATACGTGACTTGGGCGACGAGGGCAGATCTGCAGGTGGCTGCAGGGGCTCCATTGCCGACATTTGGCAAAAGTGTTGCCAAAATCTCCCCTGCGGACTGGGAAACCATCATCATGAAGGGGATCAATAGATTCGGTGTCTATTTCATACCATCCACTCCTGTCAATGATCCGAAGAGAATCAGCACTACATTATGATTTTTGCCTTCACCTTCTAGTACACGAGCACTACGACGTGGATCTCCTCATCTTTCCCGAGATACTGGAGCTGATGGCCAGCATGGACATGATTTTGTCTCGACCTTCAGGATCCGCCCTTTTAGTGGGTCGATCGGGAGTAGGTCGCCGTCCCGGAGCCAGTATCATAGGTTGCATGCACGGATTTTCCCTTTATGCCCCTTCCGTCACCCCTGCATACGGAATCAAGAACTTTGCCTCCGATCTCAAACAGGTGCAACTCTTATGTACTTGAGCATGTAACTGTTGAAGAAGCTGAGGTCTTCATTTTTCCCCCTTTTTCTTTGATCGCATATATTCTTAACTTGAGAAAAATGAAGGGAGTCAAAAGTATTTCATTTAGCTCCTGGATATATCCTTTCTCCAGCTGTTAGCTAACAACTTGTGCGATCTTTACCCATAGGTCCTGCAGATGGTAGGAGTTGAGGGTCAGCAGGTGGTATTTCTGTTAGAGGACTCTCAGCTGATTCATGACTCCTGCCTAGAAATGATCAATAGCCTCTTGGCGGCAGGGGAAGTCCCAGGTCTCTTCTCACCAGAAGAAATGGAACCTCTTCTTTCCAAAGTGAAGCAAGAGGCATCCCATGACGGATTCCGGGGATCCGTTCTGACCTATTTCTCTCAAAGTAAACTTTGAAGACGATATAAGCACTGGCACAATCAGCATTTTCACTACCTATTTGCATCTAATTACTATTCTTCTTTCAAGGGGTTCTTCGGAATCTACACTTGGTCCTCTTGATGGATTGCACTGATCCAGAATATGCCGCTCGTTGCGAGAACAATCCCGCCATTTTCAAGCAGTGTTCCGTCATATGGTTGGAAGACTGGAGTAAAGAGACTCTAAGGAAAGTCCCGCGGATCTTCTTCTCCAGGTATCCCATCCAAATTCTCTCTCTATTCAATGTAAGTTATCCTGTGGCTATGAGAAGGAGAAATGAGATAGGAAGGAGAATGAGGAGGCCAAGGAAAGGGATCCACAGGATGAAGGAGATGAAGGGGAATGTCAACTGCCCGTTGACGAAGGATTGCTCAGCCACTTCTTGGCCATTCATCGGACAGCACCGGAATCCGTGTCCAATCCCAGACGATACCTGGCTTTTCTTCAAACCTTCAAAAGACTCTATTGTGAGAGGAAGACCAGGAGCGAACAGAGACAAGCCCATCTTCAGGTCTATACCTACACTTCCCCTCCCGTTCCTGATTATCTACACTAGAGGATGACATGAGCGTACGAAAATGTAGGCGGGAGTGCACAAACTACAAGAGGCGCAGACCGTTGTGGAAGAATTGCAAAAGGTGGCAGCCAAGGACGAAAAAGTGTGTGCAGCGAAACAGGCTGAGGCAAAAGAAGCCTTAAATCAAATCCGAGCTACCATGAGCAATGCCAACACCCAACGAACTGAGATGGAAGGCCTCCGACAGGTGACCATGAAAGAGGAATCCAACATCAAAGAAAGGTTGTTTTATTTTTTTCATTTATCCACAAAGAAACTCAAATTGTGAAGGACTACGTGAAAGAATGGAATTCCCGATCTCCATTGATGCGATGCAGGAAGAAGGCGATAGATAAAGAACTGGCAGAGGTGGAGCCCTTGATTCAAGAGGCGAAATCAGCCGTGGGAAACATCAAGACCGAGGCTTTGGCCGAAATAAGATCCATGAGAGCCCCGCCCACTGTCATCAGGGACATTCTAGAAGGCGTTCTGAGGCTCATGGGGATTCAAGATACGTCATGGAATAGCATGAAGACCTTCCTGGCCAAGAGAGGAATTCGAGAAGAGATCCGGTTCGCAGCTATCTTGTTCCAATATCCCAGGTGAAAAATAAATAGGCCAGATTATAGAACATTAGTTCCTCTGTTCTTGTAGAAACTTTGATGGGAGGAAGATCTCGTCCGAGAATAGAGCCGGCGCGGAAAAACTTCTTCGAGAGCGAAAAGAGTCCTTTGAACCGAGTGTGGCGAAAAGGGCATCGACTGCAGCTGAACCTTTGGCTGCCTGGGTTATTGCTAATGTCCGATTCGCAAGAGTCTTGGAAAAGATCAAACCCCTTGAGGACGAACAAAACCGCCTTCAAAAGTCCGTCCGACCTACTATAGGTACGAATTAAAATCTCCGTTCAGGCCTAGTTTTGATTACGTGTTTCCCATAGGAACCTGAGAACAGCTGAGACTCAAATGACGGAGTTGACTACCGGCCTGGAAGACGTGGACAAACAGGTCGCCATCTTGCAGGAGAAATTCAATCAGTCGACCAAGGAAGCAACGCAAATGGAGCTGAAACTTCAGGAAGCCACCAACAAGATCAAGACGGCTAGAGATCTAATCGGAAAACTGGGTGGGGAATACAAGAGATGGACGGAGCAGGTTAGATTTCATTGTGATTTCGAAGAATTCCTCGGCAGACTCACTCGTACAAATTATGACAATGAAAAAAATAGGCGATGGAGCTTGGGACCGATCTGGAGACGTTGCCACAGAAAGCACTGCTGGCAGCGGCATTTGTCACCTATCTGTCAGCCAGTCCAGAGGACATGAGACAGGAAAAAATGAGGAAATGGCAAGAATTGGTTGGTTTGACTCAATTTGACTTGAGAGGATTCCTGGCCAGCGAAAGGGATCAATTGATCTGGAAAAGCGAAGGACTCCCATCTGACGATCTCTCCATCGAGAATGCTCTAGTGATTCTCCAGGTTTGTAGCTTTCATCTTTTTCTTAAAATCAACGTATTAAACATGAAGCTCAATATTATTTTGATTTGATTCCGAGCAGGTCTCTCCGATGAAACCTGGGGTGGGTCTAACCATCCTGTCAATATGTCGTATATCCTTGAAAGGGTCACTTGCATTCCGTTGTTGATTAACATAAGAATATATTGTGTGCACAGCATGCTCTTCGTCCACTATTGGTGGATCCATCGTCTAAGGCGAGTGAATGGCTTCAACGCCATCTGGCTCAGTCCGGGAAAGTGGAGGTGACGAACCCACGAGAAAGAAAATTCGGAACCACTCTAGAACTTGCAATAGAATTCGGGAAGATCTTAATCATCACTGAAGTTGATTCCGTCGATCCTGTTCTTTTTCCCGTTCTGCGGGGGGAGCTCATCACCCAAGGTGAAGACTAACTGGAAGAACAGCATTTAAGTTCGATTTGAACCTTCTTCCTTATGCATTTGCAGGCGGCCCGCAAAGGAAGATCCGTCTTGGGGATAAGGTGATTGATTACAACTCTAATTTCCGGCTCTTTTTGACGACGAGGAATCCGAATGCAGACATTCCTCCTTCGGCTGCTGCTGTCGTCACCATCGTCAATTTCACAACCACCAAGGCTGGGCTTACCGGACAGGTAAACTGTTACAAATAAACGAGAGCTTCGCCGTCTTGGAATGAAAGCTGAATCCAAGTTCGTCTTTGCATGCAGCTCCTAGCGGCGGCCCTGCAGCAAGAGAAGCCAGAACTGGAGAAAAAGCGTCAAGAACTGTTGAGGAGACAGGAGGAGATGAAAGTCTCTCTTTTACAATTGGAAGAAACACTCTTGCAGAAACTGGCTTCGGCCCAGGGCAACATCCTCAGCGATACCGTGTGTTCAGTAAAACAAGTTGCTAGCGATAACGAACAACGTCGATAAAATTGGACTCCTTTTCAGGACTTGTTGGATTCCTTGACGGAGATGAAAGGGAAGGCAGAGACTATTGGGAAAAGTCTGGAGGAAGCCGTTCGTGTCCAGGCCACAGTGGAGACAGAAAGAAATTCTTATCTCCCATTGGCTGAGAGTGGAAGCGAGCTTTATTTTGTGATCAAGGATTTGATCAAGATGAACTCGATGTATCGCCTCTCCTTAGACGCCTTCCTCATCCTCTTTCAAAAGGCTCTTAAAACAGGACAGGTAGGAATGTAATGTTTTTCGTACATCCATCCGGAGATCCATGGCTGAGTTCATAATGAAAACAGCCGAAGGAAGGAGGAGAGAACGAGGAGAGGGTGCGATCCTTGAAGATGTCCCTCTTGATCCACGTTTATCAATACGTCAGTCAGAGCCTGTTTAAGGCAGATCGACTCATGTTCGCCCTTCATGTCGCTCATGGCATGAAACCACAGCTCTTCAATCCCAGCGTACGGATGCTTTTACGAAGGCTTGAATTATTCATTGGTCCATTGATCCTTCTTCTACCATTCCGTCTACGTTCATCAATTATAGGAATGGGAAGCGTTTACGGGGATGCTGTACACGGACCTGAAATTCGATGCCACGGAAATGAAGTCCAACCTCCCTTCGTGGGTCAACGAGGAGAGGGCTTTGGCCGTCACTCTCCTAAAGGTTCCACTCTTTCTCCTTCTCCCTTCGATTCTCCTTTCATGAATTTTTAGGTCGGAAGTTCTTTGGTGTTAGACGACGTTTCCAGAGCTGTATACGGTGCTGGACCTAAACAACGCTCCGATGTGGGCAGATTTTGCCCGAAGTCCTCGGTGCGAAGAAAGCTTGCAGGGGGATTTGGCTAAGAAACTGACTCCATTTCAGCAGCTCCTCGTCGTCCAGGCTCTCAGGCCTGATCGGCTTCAGTCGGCTATGGAGAAATTTGCCTCCCGGGCCTTAGGTGTGCCGAAGTAATATTGAAACGTAACCTTTTTTATGTCATAGATGTTGGATATTAAGACTTTTTCTCTTCAAGGCTTGAAAGAGTTGTGGCCTCCGGCGTTGAACCTGGGTAGACTGGTGAATGAAGCTGAAGCCAGGGAGCCGATTCTCCTCCTTATTTCTCCTGGGTCAGACCCATCGGAAGAGATTCGAGATTTGGCACAACACACCTTTGGAGATCAAGCTCACGGAAAATTTCAAGCCGTAAGCTTTCAGTCACTTGCCTGGAGAAAACATTTTCTTGGCCAATGGAAAAAAATTTGGAGGCGCAGGTGGCGATGGGGCAAGGTCAGGCGGACGTGGCCCTAGAAAAGCTGTCCCAGGTGGCAACGGCTGGTGGCTGGCTATGTCTTCAGAATCTTCACTTGGTTACAGGATGGCTACCAGCCCTGGAACACGCTCTCGGGCAACTCAAACCTGATCCTCAATTCAGACTTTTGTTGACAGCCGAGGCTCATCCCAAATTTACACCTTTAATATTGGAAATGAGCCACAAAATCACATATGAGGTAATATATTGGGATCGCTTTTACGATAGGAGATTGGGATCGCTTTTACGAGTCCCGAATGAGCCTTTTTTTTTATTCCTCACTAACCTTGAAAAGGCTCCGGCTGGAGTGAAGAGAAACCTGCAGAGGACCTTGGAGGCATGGAGACGAGAATTCGGTGAGAGTTTGGGAGGAAATGGGCCTCGGGGTTTGTTGAGGGCCAAAACTCGAATGGCACTGGCCTGGTTTCATGCCTTGGTTCAAGAAAGGCGATCCTACATCCCTCAGGCAAGACTTCACCTTGGCATTATCAGCATGGCTCTCTTTTTCCCCTTCATTATCTCAGTCACGAAACATGATAAGAACTTTCCGGCAGGGCTGGACAAAATTCTACGAGTTCAGCTTCGCTGACCTCAGATGTGGAATAGACATCGTCGATCGTCTCTTAGATGATGCCCAAAAAAGTGAGCTAGAACTTTATATCCTGCACCTTTCGGTCAGATCAATCCAAGTCACCATAGATCCTAAGTATGTGCACCCTCGATTACTTTTTTCAGATGGAATTCCTTGGACTCACGTCCACGAACTGTTCGTGAATGCCGTCTATGGGGGTCGGATCGATAATCCCTTCGACACGTCCGTCCTGACCTGTTACTTAAAAGATTATTTCAATTCTCAGACGTTGTCGGAAGGAGGATCAAGACGTCCTCTCGGAGGGGTCTTGGATCTCCCAGAATCATTGGAAACGCAGGATTATTTAAGACAGGTCAAGGAACTGTCGGACACCGATCAGCCTTCTTATTTCGGACTCCCGGCGAATATCCAAGGAGTTCTGCAACGGAATACGAGCACACAGGTGATATCCCGATTGAGGGTGCTCATGAGACCCTCAGATGCAGAGGCCTCGTTTGACCGAGAACGCTGGAACGCAGAACTGTCACCCATCTTGAACCTGTGGAAGAAACTAAACAAAGGAGAAAGCATGCACACCATGAGACTGACCCCTCCGATAGTAGAGAAGGGCGGGAAAAGCAATCCTTTGGACGTCTTCATCGCACTCGAGAGATATTCAGCCATAATGCTTGTGCAAAGTATACACCGATCTTTGGCCGCTCTCTCAAAGGTCATTCATGGATCTGCTCTTCTCTCTTCACCCGTTCAAAACCTGGCACGCGCTCTACTTCAACAGCAGGTTCGTTAGACCATGTCGTAAAATTCTTTTGCTATACTGATTCTGAAAAGGAATCGTGTCTGAATAGGTACCAGAGGCGTGGTCGTCCATCTGGGAGGGCCCTGAAGACCCCATGGCCTATCTAAGAGCTGTCGTATCAAAGGGCCTTGCCGTTCAAAAATGGTTTTCCAAGGCTGAACAGGGCACATTGGTCCATGATACTCTGGATCTTGGCGATCTCCTTCATCCTAACACTTTTCTTACTGCTCTGAGGCAGCAGACAGCCAGGTACCATTTCTAAATCAGTAAATAAAAAAGCATGAAGCTTGCACACACAATATTTATGGGACACTTTGGACATTGTAGGGAGTATAAGGGAGACGTGGCAATTGACGGGCTGAAGCTGGTGAATTCCTGGGGCAGTTCAGGGCTTCGGGCATCAAGATTGCCTGTCTCTATCGGAGGGCTTTTATTGGAAGGGTGCAGTTTTGAGGGGGGAACCCTGAAGGAAAACGCCCCTAATTCACCGACGGTGATACCAGTGCCTGCAGTTACCTTGGCCTGGGTACCCAAGGATGGATCGGGAGGGCAAGAAGGCGGGAATAGCATTTCCTTGCCTGTTTATCTGGATTCTCGACGAGAGAAGCTCTTGACGCGATTGTCCGTGCCAGCTGGGGGTCAGCCCGACAGGTGGATCAAAGCTGGAGCCGCCCTTTTCCTCAAGAACTAATCACACTGTTACTACCGATCCCTCTCTCACGGATTACCATATTTTTCTTTTTTCAAATAAAATATCGGAGTTCCCAGGGAAGAGACACAAGGCTGTTGGAATTCTTAGCGCAGCTGAGCACACCTATGCAATGCAGATGCGCAGTCAATAGATGGATTTCACAAAACCAAATATCTTACGCAGAACTAGCCATTTTTTCCGAGCTCTTGCGACCGTAGGTTACCCTCAGGGCCCTCCACAGAAATCATACCATCATGTAGTAATGTGAAAACCATTTTTCAAAGGCTTTCCCTTTCTTCAACCCAACCCCAACCTCAACCTCAACCTCACTGCTACTGTAGGGTGTACGTGATCGATATGAGACTCAAAATGAATTTTACTGTCATCTATTGAAAACTTCTGGGTACTTTCATACTACCTGCAGTGAAAACTGCACAGGGGCTCAAACCACCAGTGCAAAACTTATCAATGTAATGTATATTTCTTTGAATCAAGGCAAATTTCCTGTAATAAACATTTTGATCATGATTTGATGTTAAGGAATAAACATATTTTCCTGTAAGACTCTAAACCAAAGAAAGGGCATTGTGGAGTCTGAATATCATCAAATTATTTATACACTAGATATAAGTTAATAATTTAGATATGAGATACTAGTTTACAAGTTAAACATTAGACACTAAAAACAGAAATATTGGGGTTGCTTTGTATATAGTTCACCCCTCCACAACCTATACTGTAAGAGCTAGTAAAACAACAATAATAATGGAATCCTCATTTAATTTTAACTCCAACCAAACCTATCATTTCAGATGTCAAATGATAGTATGAAAGAAGACTCATTGATCACATGCATACAATTACATTTCTGAAAGCTTATGATACCAGGGCCCAAAATCCCTTCCCATCCATGTGTTACAAAAAAGATCAGTCAACATCTTTGGAAATGTGGAATGACCTGGAAGTTCTTCTGATTTGAATGTGGCCGAGAAGATTGGAATTATTTTGAAAGAGAAAGTTAAGGCTATAATGCAACCAAAAAAGGAAGCAACATTGATTCTCCTGGGAAACCATGCAAAGCAACATAAGCAGTGTTGAAGGACAAGGAAGATGATAGAACTCTTTCAGTGTCTCTTCTCATCTTGCACCACTTGTCTCACAGCTATTGTATACATAGATGCAGGGCATGTGAATTATAAAAAGTGGAAGATTCAATTTAAAAATAAATTCCCTTTCTCATGATGCAATAGGTTTATTTTTTCTAGCTTCAATAGTTTAGGCAGTGGAGGGGGACTACTTCAGTACAACACTTTGTCAATTCAAAATATTAGAAAACTCAAAGAAAAAAAAAGAGCAGTGTATGGTTTCATCACCTTTTTCCCCAGTGAATGCTATGTTAGGCATTGGGCTCCAAAACAAAACAAAAGTCTTCCACAGAGTTGGTTGGGACTTTAAGAAACTTAGCTACCTATTATATGACAGACAGGAAGGGAGGGCTACACACCCTTGCACTTTATGCTAAACACTCTGTATATTGAAGTTCCACCAACTTCACATCAAAGATTGTTGCCATGGCTATCTGTTTCAACCACAGGTTCACATATACTAACTCTAAATACATAGATCAATAATAAAATAGACAAGACCGTAGGTCTGGTGGAGCTAGATCCCTGAAAAATGTCACAAAATATATCTAATCACAGAAGTAGAAAGAATTTCCAGAGAGGTGCATGGTCTTTGAGTAGGATTATAGTTATGATTGAGCAGTTCCACCTCCTACTTAAAAAAAAAAGACAAGAATATAAGTGTAAACTTGTACCAGGTGTTTCATAATTGTGACTGGTTATATTCAGGGCTCCTCTGGATCTAATTAACGCCATGACAGTCCAAGCCTCGCTCTGACATCCAAGGTAATCCCTTCATGCCTACCAGTTTCAGGTCCCTGCAGAAGCAGGGCCCTCATTCACATAATACCCAATTAATTGCACTAGACCACGAGACGGTGATGACAGGGATCTGACAAAAACTTGGTTTTTATTTCCGGAGACAAGCGAAGGATGAAGAATTGCTCCTAGTACATTCACATTTGTGCATACACAATTTTCTCACCAGTCTTACGTGTGCAACCCAAAATTTGGATAAAGTACGTATCAGGTCCCCAAAAAAGTATTTTCGTTTTTTTGCCGTTGAATTTAGACCAAACACAAACACTTTGTTAGTACATTTTATTCGGTAAAGTAATTGCCATTACAATCTACAACTTTTTCCCAATGGGAAACAATATTGTAAATGCCGCGTCGGAAGAAATCACGGTCTTTGGAAGCAAAGAAAGACTTTAATTCCTTTTCATGGTCCGCTTGTGTTTTCAATTGCCGGTTCCGCGTGTGGTTGTCCAGCGAGAGGAAAAGGTGGTAGTCGGAAGGGGAAATGTCAGGCAAATAGGGTGGATGTGGCAGAATCTCCCAACCAAAGGTGTTGAGTTTTTCTCAAGTCACTCTTGCCGTATGAGGGCGCGCGTTGTCTTGGAGGAACACAGCATCTTTCCGATTGACCAATGACGGATGTTTTTCGAGCAGCTTGTCCTGAACCCGTTGCAGTTGCGCCGAGTAGACGTCCGCGATGATCGTTTGGCCAGGGTTTAGGAGCTCATGGTGTAAGACGCCGGCTGTTGTCCACCATACACAAAGCAAAATCTTCCGTTGGTGCAGGTTTGGCTTTGGCATGTGTGGCGTTCTCTCATTGGGCGACAGCCATCGGTACGACCACTTAGTGTTGCTGTACATAACCCATTTTGCATCACACGTTAAAGTCGATCCAGAAATGGTTCGCTTTTATGACGTGAAATCAGAAATGAGCAGATCTGAAGTCGGTTGAGTTTCTTCTCTGCACCACGCATGTGGAACCCATTTGCTGAGCTTGCGGGCCTTCCCAATGCTATGCAGGTGCAACCTACAAGTTTCCTCGCTAACGCGAAGTGTCTGTGCGAGTTTTTGACAAGTTTGACTTAGGTCCGACTCGATCAGTGCTTTCAGCTCAGCATCATTAATGATGGATCTCCTTCCAGATCGGGGTTCATATTTGTGTTTCATCGCCAGAAGAAAATTTCTTAAACCAATTTTGTGCTGTACGCTCACTAACCGCGTTCTCTCCAAATGCCTTGAAAATGTTCCGAGCAGCCTGCTTCCCTTTCTTACCGAGTTTGAACTCGTACAACAAACACGCGCGAATAACTTCTGAAGTAGCCGGCATGGTCTCGCTCACGTCACACTTCTAAATAGGCTGATTTGTTCATTTACTATACGCAAGTTGGTAGGCCTATTCATGCTCTTTCAAACGGTACATAGGTCAAACCAGCGCCGCCTGTGCGTAAACATAAAACTTGTTCAAAGTGGTAACCTAATAACGAAAAAAACATTCTTGGGGACCTGATAATTTTGCATGGATTCGAGGAGCGTGGAACTTCATCGTGACGTCACCAGTTTCACATCCAGAATATTTACAGGGTCACATTGGAACGGAATGACGTATTTACGTGTTTATGACACATTAAACGTTTGGCAGAAAACATGATAAAAACTGAAACAGTGAGGAGATGGCACGACTTAATGGTAACGTTCCTCATCAAGGGTCGTGCTCCGAATTCGATCATTCCGTCGGTTTTGTTTTCGAGCTACATAAACGAAAAACTCCTCCGAGACAACTAAGCATAAGAAGTCGTCTCCGCCCCAGCCGCGGAGACGATCGGCGAACCACAACGGGCCTCCAACGTTCGAGTCTTGGAAATGTTGGACTCGAGACCTTCCTTCGGACGCATCCCTTGCTGCCGCATCTTTTTCTTTTCGCTCGTGAAATCTCTTCGGCAGGATAGCTGGGTCCGTCCGAAGCTGCAACGATTGGTCTCAACCAGTGAATGAAAATTCCACAAGCCAAAGGGTTGCTCTCTTGCTAGAGGTGTATCTGTGTGCGGAGAAAAGTGTCAGACGTGACGTTACACGAAATCTCAGGTTGAAGTCACTCGCTCCGATGGTCACACGTCCGTCTTATGGTGGAACCTTTCAATTTAGTGTCATGTTCATCCTACAGATTCAACGAAACCTGAAATTAGTGCGAGCCACTCCACGATTCTAGACCTCAGAAAGAAAGGCCACTTTGTGACAGTGTCGGGTTTGACATGTTCTGAAAATTTATGTTACCATGAGAAGTTTTCATTTGCCTTCAAATTTTCTTATCAAAATAATTGAAATGTGAACGATTACATCTCTTCACACCTGAATTAATGTTTCAATCGTCCAATTCAGTTTCCCCAGATTTGCATTTCCATGAATATCATGAGACTGGTACAGAGGTGCAGGGTGGTCATAAAGTCTCAATCTATTTTGTTGAAAAACTGAGAATTCTTACAAAAATACTGACCAACAATAATTTCTTGTTTGTTTCAGGTGTAACCCATCAGAAATTCTTACAGGATGCTAACTCTTGAGAGGATTGAGGTTTTGAGTTTACGTTTACAAAGTAAGTCTTATGGCGAGATACGGAAAAACTTATTGAGGAAATTCCATAGACCTGGACCTACGGATGCAAATTTCCGTATCCTTGTGAATAAACTTAAGAGGACTAAAAGTGCAGTTCAGCTGATGAAAAGCGTTTCCAGATCCCCTGACCTAACCCCCTTGGACTTTTTGCATGGGGGTACATTAAGTCAATGGTTCACCGCACAAAGGTTCTCAATGTTGAAGATTTAAGAGATCGTATCTAAGCTGCTGTTAACACCATAACCCTCCTGACATGCTGAACAATGTGTTCAGGAAAACGACAGATCGATTGCACATACATAGGGTGGTTCAAAAATAACGCTCTACCGTTTCCTATGGGAGAAACAGTTTCATAAATGTAGCACAAAAAAAATTAAATTCGATGCGCGATCGATCTTTGACAGTTACAAGGTGTTGAAATGGTTGCCAGCTTTTTTCAATACCCCTGCCAAAGTCGTGCGATGTTCCTTTAGAGGTGAATACACAGAGGTGGATCATTTCACCTCAACTGATGTGATTGCCTGTGCTCAACCGTCTCATAATTCAATGAAC